ATACTTAGATTAGCAATTATGGAATAAATACTTAAGTCAGAGCTAGCCAGTAAGAAACAAGCAAGGCCAACAGCTTCATAATTAATATAGCCTCCTGTGTGTTTATTTGGGACTGATGCGGCTCTGGAACCAGGCTGGCGGGAAGGCTTCTCTTTACACCTATGTCCATGATATGGTGATGCCCATTTCAAGGTGGGTCTTCCTTCCACTCAAAACCTCTCAGGAAACTCCCTTAAAGACATGCCCGTGGGCTGGGCGTTGGTGGCGCACACCTTTAATCCCAGCACTCTGGAGGCAGAGGCAGGTGGATCTCTGTGAGTTCGAGGCCAGCCTGGTCTACAGAGCCGATTCCAGGACAGCCTCCAAAACAATACAGAGAAACCCTGTCTCGAAAAACCAAAGAAAAAAAAAAGACATGCCTGTGGTGTGTCTCTGGAATGGTTAGTATTAACTGCCCACTTGACAGAATCTAGAATTGCCTAGGAAACAAGCCCACAGGCACATCTATGAAGGAATATCTAGGTCTAGGTTGGAATGGCCTCTGGGCAAGCCTGTGCAGAGGTATCTTCATTGGGTTCACTGAGGTAGGGAGACCCACTCTGCAGGCGCCATTTCCCTGGGATGAGACCACGGGGTGTATAAATGAATAAAGCAAAGTTGAACATAGTGATTCCTCATCCACTCTGCTTCCTGGTTGTAGATTTGATAGGACCAGCTGCTTCAAGCTCCCGTCTGTTTGGCTCTCCTGCCATGATGGAGAGTCACTGTGAGTCAAAAGAAGCCCATTCTCCCTCAAGTAGCTCTTGTTGGGTTATTTTATTGAAGTGATGTAAAAAGAAACTAAGGCATTCTTTTTGGTGTCTCTAAATCTAATCAAATTGTCAATTCAGATTCATCATGAGGACCATTAATATTTTTAGCTGGGCAGTGGTGGCACACGCCTTTAATCCCAGAACTCAGGAGGCAAAGGCAGATGGATTTCTGAGTTCCAGGCCAGCCTTGTCTACAGAGTGAGTTCCAGGACAACCAGGGCTACACAGAGAAACCCTGTCTCTAAAACGAAACAAAAACCCCACAACAACAACAACAACAACAAAAAACCAAAAAGATTTACCATTATATCACTCAAGTAGGTAGTGGTGACCGACAGGTGCTGAACTGGAGGGGTTGGCAGCAAACATTACCTACCCGTAGCCTAGAACCATGAATCTTTAGGTGGATAGGAAGTATAATTAGAGAACAATTTCTTAAGTTGTCATCTAACACAAAGCTGATGGAGGAAAATCTGCCGGAGTATATGATATTTGCATTTTCCCTGTCTTTAAGACCATGTAGCTTTCAGATGTGTTTGTTTATATTGGTTTCTATGGTAGTTTTATTTTTTATATTGATTTATTATTGTTGTTTGTTTCATGTTGTTTGTGCATGGCACACATGGGAGATCAGAGGACAGTTTTGGGAGTTAGTTCTATGCTTCCCCTGTGGGTTCTGGGACTGCAGTCAAGTTTTCAGGCTCATGTGGCATCCAACTGACCCTCTCTGGTAATTTTTTTGAAGATTAGAAAAATTATGTGGCCTGTGTGTGTGTGTGTGTGTGTGTGTGTGTGTACGTACATGCACATGTGTATTGTTAGAGGCCACAGTCATCAGATACCCTGAGCTGGAGTCACGGGGTGAGGGGGGAATCTGACAGACATTGGCCCTGGGAGCCTGATGCAGGTCCTTTGGAAGAGCATAAAGAAGAGCAGTGACTGCTCTTAACTACTGAGCCACCTCTCCAGCCCTGCTCCTTGTCATTTGTTTGTTAAAAACTGCTTAAGAAGTTGGATCTGCTAGTGCAGGACTGCCACTGCAGCTACTTAGGACCACAATTCGAGGCATGCCTGAATTCCAGAGTGGGTTCATGCCAGCTTGGGTAACTTACTTAGTGAGCCACCTCAAAACAGAAAGAGAACAAGGAAGGGCTAGATATAGCTTAGTGTTCAAGTACTTGCCTAGCATGTGCAAAACCCTAGGTTCAATACACACACACACACACACACACACACACACACACACACACACACCCTACCTTCATTGGAGTAGCAGATATTGCATATTTACATAGTTTTGTGAGTACATCTTCAAATTATTTATTAAAAATACCCTTTGTATGTCTGTGAATATTATGGTATGCACATGCCTCAGTGTGTAGTTGTGAGTCAAAAGACCTCTTTGTGGAGTTGGTTCTCTCCATTCACATTTACATAAGTTCTATGGATCTAGGTAGGGTTGCCAGGCTTGCTCAGCAAGTATTTTTACCAGCTGATTCATCTCACCAGACCCTCTTCCCATTTTATTAAAATATTTCTGTGAGAAAATTGATAGTAGAAACACCTGTGAAACGGGGAGCTGGAGAAATGGCTTAGTCTCCTGGCAAAGTGATTGCCCCATAAGCGTTAGGACCTGAGTTTGGATCCTCAGCACCCATGTAAGAGTTAGATGTAGTGAGTGCCCAGTGCTGAGAGGCAGGGATGGGTAGATTCCTAGAATTCACTGACCAACTCTCTTAGCCAAATTGGTGAACTCCAAGATGAAAACCTTGGAGCATGCACATTCTCACAAAAACACATACTAAAACACACACACACACACACACACACAACATACACATGACACACACGAAATACTTTAAATACTTTTGGAGCAAATAGAATGATCAACTCTCCCAAGGGTATTTAGCTGAGTATAGAATACTATTGAGTAGTACTGAATTACTATTAATGTTAACAAAACCCCTTTATTACAAGCACCCATCTTTATGTTTATTTTCCCTTTAAATATGCTAAGTATTTGCTTCCCTAATTGATAGCTGCTAGTCTCTTCCTGAGTGTGCCAAGCAGAAGACTATTAGCCAATCATTTTGGTGGACCGCCCTCGGGTGCAGCCTGGACACCTTAGAAATTCAGCTACTCTGAACATTCCACAGCCACCTTAATAAAGCTGCACAGCATTCACAAATACTGTTGAAATGCATTTCCATTCCCAAAGTCGCTATCCTGGGCACTGCTGTCTCAGACAGCTTCTGTCTCCTTCCCTCTCATCCTCCCTCCCTCCCCTCCCTTTTTTCCCCTCTCCTTCCTTCCTTCCTTCCTTCTTTCCTTCCTTCCTTCCTTCCTTCCTTCCTTCCTTCCTTCCTTCCTTCCTTCCTTCCTTCCTTCCAGGATTTCACAATGTTGCCCAAGCTGGCTTCAAACTCAACATTCCTCTTGTTCATCCGCTCCAATGTGCTATCATACACAGGTTTCTGGTTTTTGTTTTTTGTTTGTTTGTGGGGGGTTTTCAAGACAGAAGAACCGCCTGCCTCTGCCTCCCGAGCCCTGGGTTTCTAATGGAATCCTTTTGCAATCACAAACCTTGTTGAGAGGGTTTCCGTAGTGTAGTGGTTATCACGCTCGCCTAACAAACCTTGTTGAACTGAAGCAACCATTTTAACCGGTGCTGTAACATCAGGCTTCTCTCCAGTGCTCTTTGCCTGCTTTTGACCCTTCTCATGAGCTCAGTGGGCTCAGCTGGTGGGATGACAATGAGATGATTCAAAAATGGCAGTATAAAACAAGCACTGACTACAAGGGAAGATAGGAGTAAAGACAGCAAATGAGCGAGCATGGGAGATCCGAGGATGACTAAGACAGAAGGCAATGAAGAGCCTACAGACAAGAGACAGTGAGCTCTCAGTTGCTGGCAGTGAGCCAGGGAACTGTCCGTTGAAATCTGACAGTCTGACTGTGGTGACACACACCTTTAATCCCAGCAGAGGCAGAGGCAGATCTCTGTGTGTTTGAGGGCAGCATGGTCTACAGAGCCAGTTCCATGACAGCCAGGGTTATACAGAGTAATGTCTTGTAAAACAAAAACAAAACAACAACAACAACAAAAATTATATAGGCTTGACATGTCCTCACAAGGAATTCCTTTTCTGAAAGATCAGAGTCCCCTCTGTGCAATGTAAACCTGTGGAAAAAAAGAGTTCCTATTTCCCTGTTTAGTCCAGGCCCCTCGTTCAGATGTGGGAGCTTTTGCTTCCTGAGATAAGGGCCAGCTCAGATGGACACCTCAGTTACAAGGTGATGCCAGGACCACCTGGGAGAAGGAGCAGTCAGCCTTGCAGAGCAGGCCTTCCAAGAAGCCACCCTTTCTTCTGAGACCACATATGCCCTGCAGCGTCTAAGGGGCTATTCATGATGCTTCTGTCTCCTGCCTTCTCTTCATGGGACAGTGGTTCACCTGTGATGGACACCACAGGTTGGCTGCGGTACTTCGTTCATAATGAAACTGATTTCTGTGTAGAGAATTTTTTGCATTGGCAGCTTTTGTTCAGTCTCCATTAGCTTTGGAAACCGATAGGACAAGAACCCTGTGGCATTTGGGAGGGTGGGTGGAATTGGAGAGGTCATTAATCATATGGTATCATGTTTGAGCATTGCCATCGTTGCCTGACTTCAAACAGCAAGTTTGAGAAGTCCTATTACAGGCACCTGTTTCTCCTTTCTGTATGTACGTTCTGGTTGCTTTTAGAATTTTTATGCATTCGTTGTGTGAGCCAGAGCAACCACTATTTTTGTCTTCTTTCCCTTCTTTGGAAAGAATTGCTGGGCATGAAATTTCTAGCACTTCGGTTAACAGAGCACAACACAGTTATCTGTCAGAACAAGTGTTTTACCTAAAAGCCCCAGGCCAGGAGAGGGCGTGGTGCCTGGACGATAGAACCCCTTGGGCCATTTCTGGCGCTGAAAGACAGTGAGAACAAACACGATAGTGACCTCAGGGCCCGAGTTATTGTAGCTCTCAGTTGGCTGAGACGAATAAGAGACTTGTAAGACGGCCCCCAGAAACAGGAGCTCCTAGACTTCTGGAAGTTCACCCGATGCCTGGGGTGAGAGCAAGACCACTGGGACCTTAGAGGGCGCTGCTGCGCGTGCGCATCTTGGCCTGCGTGCGAGCTCGCGCGTGCGCAAGACCACTGAGCCGCCCTGGCTTCCTGCGGTCTGTGTTTCTGCACTTGCTCCCGCAGCTTTGGCTTGCGCGAGCTGCAGTCTCGGACCCTGCGGGGCCGAGGTCGGAGCGTTCGGGTCCGCAGCGGGCGCACACGGCTGTGCAGGCCGGAGAGGCCGAGGGCCGGGTTGACAGGGGCGTCAAGACCCGGGCCCGGCGTGGCCTCCTAGGTGAGGCCTGAGGATGCAGATCCAGGCCTTGGGAGGGAGGCTGGGTATGGCTGATTGCTTGCGGTGAGGGGGGTGAGGGGGTGAGGGGGTGGGAGTGGGAGGCTGAGTGATCTGCGCCTGCACGAAGCCTGGCTCTCTGTTTTTCCTCCGCTTGTGGGGTCCGGGATGGTCGCAGTGATTGGGCTGATGGCAGCGTGGCTGCACCACTTTGGGCAGCGTTGATTGTCCGAGGACGAGGAGTGCGGGCTTAGGTGGGGTAGTGGCCTGAGCTGCAGAGGCGCTGTCCACACTCGTGCCGCACTCCTTCCGTGGTCGCTTTAGATTCTCATGGTGTCACTCGGCGCCCATCGGCACCCATGCTCTGTCTGCTTGGTCCCCGAGTCTGTCCCTGCAGTATCATATGGCCTAGTTTAGGGAAAGTTTGTTTCTGCCTCTGTTCTTGAGAGAAGATTGTGGGTCTGCCATGGTGGGACTTAAACGAGGTCATGCTGATTTTTTTTTAGTAGGAGTGCTAAGTCCTAGGCGGTCGTTCCTTCTGCAATATTAGAGTCCAAGTCACAATATCACTTAATTTTAGACAAATACAGCCCATACCTGTGAGTATTCTTGGGTGGGGAGAGGGTTTTGAGATAGGGGTTCTCTGTGTAGTTTTGGAGCTTGTCCTGGCTCTATAGACCAGGCTGGCCTCTAACTCACAGAGATCTGCCTGCCTCTGCCTCTTGAATGCTGGGATTAAAGGTGTGCACCAACACCACCCGGCTGAGCATTCTTTTGTATCCCTATTCAACAATATAAATTATTTAACTAGCATTTCATGTTAGTTCACCTTACAGTAGCACTCATTCATTCCCCACGCATGGTTACAATTCTCCAGCCCTTTCTGAAAGCCAATGAGACCATCACCCATAACACTTCCTTCTTTGAATGTTCTGGCAGGTTTTTGTATAGGAGATTCCCCCTTGCCATATCCCTCACAATGGCTTTGTTTTTCCTTCCCTAGACCTGACTCTAGTACTTCTCCAGACTTTTCCTTCAGCAGTGGAAGATGAATACATCCTTGGTAAGTTTTGTTTTGTTTCTGTTCACATCTCTATTGTCTAATTTGGTCCAGTGCACTCAAAGAGGCAAAGAACAGTTCAAACGTTAAAAAAGGGGAAGTAGATAAAATAGAAATAGATAAAAGAATCAGACAAAATGGTAGTGAAAAATAGCAAGCAGTTTTTTTTTGTTGTTGTTGTTGTTTGTTGTTGTTGTGCTCATATCTATAGGTAGCATGGGCCTTAAAGAGTCCTTACGATGGTGTAGCTGTCACCTTGATCTGACTTGGAGACCTGTGGGAGATGAACTCTGGGAATGCAGGGGATAGTACCAGGTTACAGTCATTGATATGGGGAAACTCATTTTATTGTTAGCAAGACCATTCCCTGGGCATCCTGGGCTTCGTAAAACGGAAAAGATGACTTGAGCACTAGCATGCATGTCTGCCTCCCTCTCTGTGTCCCGGGTATGGATTCCATGTGACTAGCTCCTGCTGCTGTGGCTTTTTCTCCATGATGGATACAGCTGCAGCTTCCGGCAGTATTCTGTGGTTATTCCCCTGTAGCCTTCACAGCAGGCAGGGGAAAAAAAAAAAAAAACAGTCCATGAAGAGACAAGAATGAAACTAGGATTTCTAGAGTGTGGCCCAGATCATTTCTCTTTAGTTCAGCACAATTTTTGAAAAAAGTATTCAGATAGCAGTTAACTCAGTTCCAAGTGCACAACAGTTTAAGACATGTTTACATTGAGATTCCCTACAAAGTACACCTGGCTTCTTTCACAAGAATAGGTACTATTTCCTCAGAGATAGTGCCCAAGATTCAGGGTCTAGGAAGCTTGACTGAGGTAAACATAATGCCTGTGTGTGTTGGGATTGGCCTAGCCCTAAGATAACATAAAAGTCACTTAGGTTGTTATAAAACAGAAGTGACATTATTCATAAGAGTGAATGGAGTTCATGGTCTAAAAACAATGGTCAGGATATAGAGGAAAAGGTCTTGGATAAGTAAATAAATTCTGGGAGGTACAGACAGAGCCTGTGTTATCAGACAGCAAAGGATCACCAGGTTGTAAAATGACATCATTCCTAGCATTCCAGGAAGAGCAGCTTCACACCTTATTTAATTGAAGAGGTGAGCTGTGTACTTAACTTTCCTGTCTTCTCCAGTGCTTCTATGTGTGCGCAAGGCCTTCTTACCCTCTATAGTATTCTAACACATACACACACCATTGACCCAGCCTGTCTCTCGTCTCCTCTGTCAGTTTCTGCCTTGCTGCCCTCTTCCTGGATTTAGAATTTCTTCTGCCTTCACGTGGCTCTTCATAACCCTGCTCTGATCTTGTTCTCTTGGCGTTAGCCAGTGGCTCTGTGCTGGTTCACCTTTGGATCAGCCAGCTGCCTGCTGATCACCTCTGTGGACCATGTCCCTGCAACACCCAACAGACTGTTGCATCCAAATAAATCAATCTTTTCAGCCCATCGTTGGGCCTTCTCCTTTCCTTTCCTTTCAGTATTCCATTGTCCAACACACATTCAGTTTTCTCTTACAGTCTGCAGTTTTTCTTTGTTTTTGCATCATTGGTTGGTTTGAAAAGGGTCTTGGTGTGTAGTTCAGGCTGCCCCTGAGCTCTCAATTGTCCCTCTTCAGCCAAGAGTTAAAGGTATATACCACAATCCTTGGCCCTGGTTATGACTTTCAGTGTCCCAAGAAGTGAAGTGACAGACCCATTGGGCTTTTTCAACCCTCAAGTAATCATTCTTCCCTTTGGCTAGAGTGACTTACTAATTAGGCATTATTTATTCCCTCGCAAATGCCCATGTACCCTCCTAGATACTGGCATTCTCCAAAGAACAGAGTATTCCTTCCCAGGAGCTCCTTAGGTTCTCTTAGTGGGAGAATCTCAAATAGAAACACACAGATTGGGAATATCTGCAGAGGTAAGAATAGAGTAGTGAGTTTATCCAGAATGTGTTCTCGGAGATGGTTCCTGGGTGCCTTTACTACAAGAGAGATTCTATTGCTCTAAGACAAATTCCGTCAGCTCGCATTTACCGAGCCATAGACCTGTGATCTTGTTTTGGTTGCTGTTATTTTTGTTTTTGTTTTTTAATTACTTTGTGGGTGTGTACATACCATGTTGGGTGTGTGGAGGTCACAGGACAACTTTCAGGAGTCAGGTCACAGGGATTGTGTTTTTATATATAAGATGCTCTAGCATTTCCATTTCTTTCCCAAAGCAATGGATTTCACGTCTCTCTTCCACTCCTGAAAACTGGTTTACAGATCAGTGGCTTGAGGCATCTTTGTCCTATGGTTGGTGTATATTTAAATACACAGTTAGTTGTTAACCAACAATTGGTTAGATGCCACTGAAATCTACTTCACGGTGCTGAATGCTCCCATAGAGTCCATGGTACCCACTGATGTTCATGGAGCTGAGGACATGGCTCTGTGGTTAGAGCACTTTCCCCACAGCTTGTGGACTGGAGATCAGATTTCCAGAAACCCATAAAAATGCCATGTATGTCTAGAGTGTAGGTGAGAGACGTGAACTGGTGGTGATAATTTTGGAAGTGTTTGTACATGGAGGGCAGTTAAATTATCCATGAATCCAGGTGGGCTCTCCATCAAAGCAGAGGAGAGAAGAACTAGCAGAGGACACGAGGAAGAGTCCGGGAAGTAAACATTGCGGGGACCAACACTGTTCATGTACTGGAGACAGGATGGAGAATGTTCCAAAGAGTAGGGTGCACCTAGGATTGCATGAGTGTCCCTCAGGTCTGAGCTCCTCAGTGGTGGGGAATATTTCTGATGGTTTCTGTCCTCGACAGCCAGCATTGTTCCTGGCTTGCAGTTCAAGCCCAGTACTTTCTTGATGTGAATAAATGAGTCCCAAGGCAGTTGGGGTTTTTTCTTTCTATTTTGCATGTGTGGGTATTGTATTTGTGTACATGCACAGTTTTGCTTGTATGTGAATGTGGAGGCCCAGGGTTGATGTTGGGAACCATATTCTTCCTTCTACTTCATTTATTGAGGAAGGATATTTTAGTCAAGCCCAAAGCTTTCTGGTATGGCTAGTCTTGCCAGCCAGCTTCCTCTGGAGAGCCCTGTTAAGATTGGAACTACAGAGGGGCTGCCACGCCCACCTGGCATTTACATGGGTTTCTAGTTACTCTGTACTAACACTTGTACTGCAATTTCATTAACCACTGAGCCATTTCCTCTAGCCCCAAAGGCAGTGTATTTTTTGATAGGCATGCTGTCTTTCACGGTCTGTAATATATAAAGAATATATATACAGTGGGCTTGGCAAGAGCTTGTCTTCAGTTGCCTGTTCCTTGTGATCGAATTTTGAGCATGTTGTTGCAGGGCCCACTGTCATTCAAGGATGTGGCTGTGGCCTTCACCCAGGAGGAGTGGCGGCAGCTGGGCTCTGAGGAGAAGACGACGTACAGGGATGTGATGCTGGAGAACTACAGCAACCTCGTCTCCGTGGGTGAGGACCAGTTGCCTTCTCAGCTGCTCAGATGTGGGGATGCCTTTAAAGTCATTAAAGCGTTGATGACTGCACTTTTGGATTCTGTGGCATGGTTGTGAGTGGTTTGTTCTGATTGGCCTCTCTGTGACAAAAAGCACTAGGGCTCTTGTACTACACAGCTGGTACAGTCCCGCTCCATAGAAACCCTGAAGCCATGCTGGCTGGCTCAGGTTGTTTCTCATCTCTCATTAACAGGGTACCACATTATCAAACCGGATGTTATCATCAAGCTGGAACAAGGAGAAGAGCCATGGATAGTAGAAGGAGCATTCTCACCTCAGAGCTATCCAGGTGTGTTAGTGGAGGCAGAGAGGAGATGGTAACTGGGGGGGGGTTCCTTCTTGGAAACATTCTGATCACCCCGAGCTTTAGAAATTACTGAAGGTAGCTATTCACTCCTAAAGCTTTCTTCCTTCCCCATAAAACTATGGTTATAGAGAATTTCCCCCAGTAACCACTGTCCAGAATCAAAGGTTCCTAGCTGGCCGTGAGGAGTGCACACCTTTAATCCCGGCACTCGGGAGGCTGATGCAGGTGGATCTCTGTGAGTTCTAGAGCAGCACGGTCAACAGAGTGAGTCCAGGGAGTCAGGACTGCACAGATGAAGTCAGTTCCTTTTTCTCTAAACCTTGCACTTCCATGTTGAGCCACCCATCACAGCTTCCTTTCACTAGGTGTCCATAGTGCATTGTCAGTGAACGACCTTCTTCAGCTCTTAGGTTATTAACCCTCTTGGTTTTGTTTTCATTCTCTCTGACTGAAATGCTTTGGGCTACGTATTAGTCACTTTCCTGGGGCTGTGACAAAACCCTCACAAAAGGAACTTAAGGGAGAGAGGGTTCCTTTTGGCTCCCAGCTCCAGGGTATGTACAGCTTGGAAGGCACAGCAACAGGACTTTGAGGCAGCTGTTTGCACTGTGCTCACTGCATGGCAGTCAGGAAGCAGGGAGTGCACAGCTCGCTTTGTCATTTTTATTCAGTCCAGAAACCTAGCCCAGGGACTGGTGCTCCAAATAGTGGGTGGTTCTTTCCCATCAAGGAACATCATCCGGGTGACCCCATCAGGTGCCTAGAGGCCTGACTCCTGGGTGATTGAAAATATCAATCATCGCAAGGTTTTTATTTAAACTTCTATTTTATCTTAACTGTATGTTTTGCTGCATGTGATAGTGTCTGTGCACTGTGTGCATGCAGCACATGCAGAGGGCAAAGGAGGGGTTGGATATCCTCAACTGGCGGCTGTCAGTAGCTACCTGTGTGCTAAAAATCTAACCCAGGTCCTCTGGAAAGGCAACCAGTTGTTCTTAACTGATAAACCATCCTCTTTAACTCATGCATCTGAGGTCATTGGACAACTTTGTGTAGCGATTCTTTCTATCTTCTTGTGGGATCCAGATATTTAACTTAGGTTGCTAGGTTTGTTCAGCAAGCTTCCTTACCCAGGGAGCCATTTCGCCTCCCACCTGTAGTTTTTGTTTTGTTTGTAACCCTTTGTTATTTGGGGGCCACTCCCCATCTCCCAAATAAATACACTTGTTAAGAGAAGCTTTTTCCTTGAGAGAAGCCTTTCCGCCCGCCTGGTTCTAGAGCCGCATCAGTCCCAAATAAACACACAGGAGACTACATTAATTATGAAGCTGTTGGCCTTGCTTGTTTCTTACTGGCTAGCTCTTACTTAAGTAATTACCCCATAATTGTTAATCTAAGTATTTCTCTTACCTGAGAATAGTTCCGGGCTTCCTACCCGATGGCGTTACATGTCGACTCCCTGTGTTTCTCCTTCCCAGAGTTCTCCTGGACTCCTAGTCCCTCCTATCTTGGTTCCCTATAGGCTCAACAGTACTTTATTGACAAATGCACAGGACTTCCCCCAACATACACTGAGACTTATTCTTACTTATGAATTCCCAGCCTTACCTTGACTTGTTGCTAGCCAGCTTTCTTAAGTTACCCATCTACCTTTTGCCTCTGGGCTTTTACCTTTTTCTGTTCTATATTCCTTTCTTTCCTTCTTACTCTATGGCTGGCCTCTGTCATCTTCTGTCCATCTTATTCTATTTATTCTCTGCCTGGAAGCCCTACCTATTTCTCTCACCTGCTTAGGTATTGGCCATTCAGCTCCTTATTAGACCAATCAGGTGTTTTAGACAGGCAAAGTAACAGCTTCACAGAGCTAAACAAATGCAACATAGAAGAATGTAACACATCTTTGCATCATTAAACAAATGTTCCATGCATAAATGAATGTAACACATCTTAAAATAGTAATCCACAACACCTACCTCTTTGTTTTCTTTGAGGTCAGATTACAAAATCCCAGTCCTAAACCATTTGACCCTGGCCTCTCTGTGGGCATGTCTTCTTGTTCTCTGGAAATCCAGCCCCATGATGTTTAGCTCCTGCAGACCTGGGTCTCTCTCATCCAAAATACTTGTTTCTCCCTTAGCTTTCTTTATACTGGCTCTTTTATCCCCAAGCCCTTGAACGGTGTTCCATTGTATTGTGTACATAAATGACTTTTGTTGTTCCATCTTTCTAAGTATCTAGGAACAATTTTGTTCCACCTGTATCCCCTGGCTTCGTGATTCCTCAGAGGGCTTCTCCACTCTCAAAACTGAGGTTTTTGTTTGCCTGTTTGTTTCTCTGCAGTCATACTGTGTTGCAGCTGCATGGGACCTGCTGTGTCTTCTCTGATAACAGTGTGTGCTTCTCTCATTTTGCTGTGTGTGAAAACTGGTCATGAACTCTTGCAGCTTATGGTTGCTGAGTGCTTTTCCTGGCTCCCTAATTACTTAGTTGCACTCTTCTCGTTTCCCACCATGGTCCTCATAGAGTCTCTAAGGATATCTATCTACTCATCAGATGGTACAGGTCTCCAGAGTGACTGAGGGCTTTTCCCTTAGGCAGTGTCCTATTTACCTTCTGTACAGCTTTAATGTAAGCAAGAAACATGTCTGGGCTGCTGTTATTCCTGATTGGCCAGGAAGGACTCTTCATCTGAGGTATCCAGTTGATCCTTTACAAAGTAAACCTATTCAGGTTCCTTGTCTCCCGAAGCTTAACACAGCAGTGGCTCTGTACTGCCTGTGAGAGTTTCCTGAATCCTCACTAACCACATTTGGCCCGTCTTCTTGTCATGGGGTTTTCATCTCTGCAGCTTTACATTTTGTTAGGATGGACTGTGCTTCCCTGGGTAGTAAGGTTTAAAAACCTGAGCTCAAGTTTCCACCCCTGAGAATTTTTTCCTCCCGACTCTTATCATTACTCCAGTATCACCCTTCTCTTCTGCAGTAAAAGTAGGCAAGACGTCAAGCAGGTAAGCAAAGGAACAAGACTTGTGGGTGCCCATGTGCCACAGGTTTGTTGGATATCCCAGAAATCCCAGCATAAGGCCGCAGCACTGTGATCTGTATTGCACGACCATCTTGTTCAATTAATAGCTTGCTTTTCCTGGGACAGAATGTTTTCAGTTATGACTCATCATGGCTTTGGGTCACTATTGAGTGAGTCCTGGTGGTGCAGTGTAGATTTTTTGACACTGGTGGATTGTGGGAGGCTGTAAGATTATAAGATTTATAATGTGTGACTTGATATGCATGACATCGAGTGAAATAGGTCTATCCCATAATTTCTAAGATAAGTGAAAACAAAAAGCTGAGACACAAAGTGAAACACACATTCAGAATTAGGGAGCTGCAGCAGGTTGTGTAGGAATGGATGTAGCAGTTCTTTTCTGTTGCTGTGATAAAACATCACTGTTGGCAGAGTTTTTTTGCTGAAACCACAGGCTCCCCAGATAACCCCACAGAAACTTAATGTTCAGCCAATAGCTTAGTCTTGTTACTAACTAGCTACTAACTACTTAACAACTACTGCTAACAACTTAAATTAACCTATAGTTCTTATCTCCATTCTACCCCGTGATGGTACCATTTTTCAGCACAACACGTTCATTTCCTGATCCCTCTGCATCTGTCTGGCTACTCTGCCCCACTTTATCCCTGAGCTCTCTTTTTATCTGCAAGTCCTGCATAACCTGACCTGCCTAGCTATTGGTTATTTAGTCTTGTATTAAACTACTTACAAGGCCCCTTGGCAGAGACACATCTTCACACTGTACAAAAATATTACAACACACCATGACTGTGGCAACTTAGAGAAGAAAGTTTATTTGGGGGCTTATGGTTCCAGAAGGATAACAGTCTGTGACTGTCACAGCTGCATGGCAGCAGGCAGGTGGGGTGGCAGCTGAGAGCTCACATCTCAGACCACAGATAGGAAGCAGAGAGAGAACTCAGAAGGCAAGAGTCTTTGGAAACCTGAAAGCTTCTCCTAGTGACATGCTTCCTTCAGGAAGGCCTCACCTCCTAATCCTCTCCACGTAGCCACCAACTGGGGACCAAGTATTTAAATGCTCAAGACTTGTGGGGCCATCTCATTGAAGCTAACACAGGACTAAAATTATTGGTAGGTTGAAAGTGTAATCTTGAATATGTGTTTTGTGTGACATGCTATTCTGAGCACTTTGACTCCTGTAATCCCTAAACAGCCCTGTGAGATAAAGCCCATCATTTTCTGCTGATATGTGGGGATAGTAACAACAGAGGCTGTTACATAGTTCTCCCTGGGTTAGTACATCAGTTCATACAGTACAGGTCCAGCTAGGAACAGCAAGCAGTACATTTCATGGTCAAAATGAGTTCAGTCTTAAACCTCTCCATTAGTAGGATCCTTTAAAAAAAAAATCAAAGCTTTTAGGGAGACATCTTTTTCTGTGCTATCTGATACTTCCTGTTTCACATGAGTGTTCCAGAACTCACCTTCCAAGTAAAGCTTAGAGGGAAAACCTGGGTCCAGGTTTAAACATGAGGAAAATTTAGGTGTAAAACATATGCAATGCACGCCTTTAATCCCAGCTTATGGGAGGCAGAGGCAGGCGGATCTCTGTGAGTTTGAGGCCACCCTGGTCTAAAAAGTGAGTTCTAGGACAGCGAGGGTTACACAGAGAAACCCTGTCTCAAAAACAAATAAACAAAACTTATGTGAGGCTACTGTGGAACGCAAAACTCAGAACAGTATGGACAGACACAAAGTGGAGGAAGTGGCACAGGTGTCAGCGTAGTCAGCACAGGTGTGTCAGTGTAGTCAGCACAGGTGTGTCAGTGTAGTCAGCACAGGTGTCAGTGTAGTCAGCACAGGTGTCACTGTAGTCCACAATGCCTCAGGGTCCAACCTCTCCCCAGCATGACGGGAGTGGGGGCAGCACTGAGTCCTTGTTTCCGTAGGTCTTGCTCTTTCTTGTGCAGTGGGCTCCTAACTTCCTGAAGGCTCTCCCTCTTTGCTGTTGATTCATTTCAGCCAGCATCCCCTTTTTTACTAATCATTGCTCTGGATCTGTGGACAAAATATTACAGAGTAACCCAGATCAAAGATGCTCTTTCTCATCAGTTTACTCTCCTTCCTCACAGTGTTACTCCAAGAGAATAAGCAGGGTAAGTCCTAACAGGACTGTGAAGCCTGACTCATAATGACAGGCTGTGCATCAGTGTCAGAACATGTCTTAGCAGGAAAATGTACAAACATGGCTTCATTTTCCCTTTCTTTAGATGAAATCTGGCAAGCAAATGACCTGATGGAGAAAGCCCAGGGACATGAAAAGAAGCAATTGAGGTCAGCTGTGTTCAGCTACAAAAGCATGGTGGAAAAGACAGGTGATGTTACTAGTAAAGCCATTACTGTAGAAACAACACTTGTTCCTTCAAGAACAGTCATACCTACGTGTGACTCCTGTGAAAAGAGCTTAACATGCATCTCTGAATTCATTAGTAGTGATGGAAGCTATGCAAAAATGAAACCCAATGTATGTGCTGGGTGTGGGAAATCACTCCTCCACATTAAGCCTGAGAAAACACATCCAGGAGATGATTCTAACGAATTTAGTCAGAATGAAGATGATTACACTCTGAGTGAAGAAAATATTTATCAGAAAATTCATATTTTGGAGAAGCCCTTTGAATATGTTGAGTGCCAGGAATCCTTCCCAAAGAACACAGTTTTTGTTAATCCCATGGAGGAGAAGCCCTATGCTTGGAATGAATCTGAAATAGCTTTGCTCCAGATGTCAGAACTCAGTGCCCACCCAAGTTCTCACATGGAGATGAAACCCTACGAGTGCCATGAATGCGGGAAGTCCTTCTGTAAAAAGTCCAAATTCGTTATACATCAGAGGACTCATACTGGAGAGAAACCTTTTAAGTGTAATCAGTGTGGGAAATCCTTCTGCCAGAAGGGAACCCTCACTGTGCATCAGAGGACCCACACAGGGGAGAAGCCCTATGAATGTAATGAATGCGGGAAGAACTTCTACCAGAAGTTACACCTTATTCAGCACCAGAGAACGCACTCAGGAGAGAAGCCCTATGAATGTAACTACTGTGGGAAGTCCTTTTGCCAGAAGACACACCTCACCCAGCACCAGAGAACACATTCAGGAGAGAGGCCCTATGTTTGTCATGACTGTGGAAAGACTTTCTCTCAGAAGTCAGCACTTAATGATCACCAGAAAATCCACACAGGTGTCAAACTCTACAAGTGCAGCGAGTGTGGGAAATGCTTCTGCCGCAAGTCTACGCTCACAACCCACATGAGGACGCACACAGGAGAGAAGCCCTACGAGTGCAACGAATGTGGGAAGTTCTTCTCTCGGTTGTCATACCTCACTGTGCATTACAGAACCCACTCGGGAGAGAAGCCCTATGAGTGTACAGACTGCGGGAAGACCTTCTATCTCAACTCTGCCCTCATGCGGCATCAGAGAGTGCACACGGGGGAGAAACCCTATGAATGTAATGAGTGTGGGAAACTATTCTCACAGTTGTCATACCTCACTGTGCATCACAGAACTCATTCAGGAGTGAAGCCCTATGAATGTAGTGAGTGTGGGAAAACCTTCTACCAAAATTCGGCCCTCTGTCGGCACCGGAGAATTCATAGAGGGGAGAAGCCCTATGAATGTTACATATGTGGCAAGTTCTTCTCTCAGATGTCGTACCTCACCATACATCACAGAATTCATTCGGGAGAGAAACCCTATGAATGCAGTGAGTGTGGGAAAACCTTCTGCCAGAATTCAGCCCTTAACAGACATCAGCGAACACACACAGGAGAGAAAGCCTATGAATGTTACGAATGTGGAAAATGCTTTTCTCAGATGTCGTATCTCACTATTCATCACAGGATTCATTCAGGAGAGAAGCCCTTTGAGTGTAACGAATGTGGGAAAGCCTTCTCTCGGATGTCTTACCTCACTGTGCATTACAGAACCCACTCAGGAGAGAAGCCCTATGAATGTACAGACTGCGGGAAGAAGTTCTATCACAAGTCAGCCTTCAATAGTCATCAGAGAATTCACAGAAGAGGGAATGTGAATGTAGTTGATGTGGGAAGGCTCCTCTAAAGGCAGACTTCAGATGACCATCTCAGTGCTAGAAACTCCTGCCCGGAGTGGAGCCACATTGTACAATTGGCCCTCAGCACCCACCGGTTCCATATCCAAGGATTCAGCCAACCAGAACTACTTGAGGAAAAGGTGTTATCTGTATGGGATGTGTACAGACTTTTTTCTTGTTATTCCCTAGGAGTACAATATAACAACTTTCTATTGCATTTATATGATATTAAATATTATAATCTAAAGATGAGTTAAAGTACACGAGGATTGTGTAAGCTGAACACAGACAGAGCATTTCACATAGGGAACTAATGAACTGCAGACTTTGGTGTCCAGGTAGTCCTGGAACCACACTCCCACATACCAAAGGACACTTCAGAGAGCCCACACAAATGAGCAGGACAAGTCCATGTGACATAGATTCATCTGGAAATTTACAGAGTAGAAACCACAATTGTGAAAAGACCACATAACAGGAGTAAAAATGTATACATATGTTTCAGTGTGACTTCAAACTGCTTATCAGGGATTGACTCAACTTAAGGAATGTGGGAAGCACACTCCTTTGGAAACTGCTAATAATAAAGGATATTTTGTAAAAATTAAAAGAAGATAATCTGCTAGAAATAAGTACCCTCTATCCTCTATAAGTACAGGATATAAAACAAGTCTAGTTACACAAGTTTGCTGTGTTAAACTGGTAAACAGTTCCCTGGGAACACAGGACTTGGGGTTTCTTTTTCTTATTTTAGTAACTATCACAGAAATCTTATGTTCAGTTTTAATCAAGCTTGGAAAAGGGTTGTATCCTTAGTTTGTAACATGGTAAGTTTATCCATTCTAACAAAGTTCACTATCATATTATTTTCTTAATATGCACTGTCACCACAGTAGTATTTGAGAGTTACGAACTATGTTTTTCTTATTCCTTGGATTTTAAAATGCATTTGGTCATTGTCACAGGATTATATCATCTGTAAGAAGTCTTTTATTGTTGTTTTCAACTATAGCAAAGAAGACAGAAATGTATCTATAACATAGGAAACTCTGAATAGACAATTTTTAATTAAGCCAGAAGTCTCCAAGGACTAGAAATAGCTGTAGCACTTACTGTACTCTGTACAACTAAGAACTATACTTAGAATATCCTCATTTCCATCTGCTGTTTGTTCACTTATTTTTTTATGTAGATGCTTAGGTGTGTCGAGCACAGGGCTGTGTAGCACTGTCTGTGTGCTAGTGTTGTTAACGTTCCTTGCTCTACCATCACTAGGTGAGAACACACAAATAAGGATTGTGACAGACATCATCTCTTGCCTTCTAGCACTCCCTCCTTGCTCTCTGCCTGTAGTCCTGATAAGTTTTATTGGTAGTGATAGTCCTTTCTGGTTACGTTGGGCCCATACGTAAAGTATTGGGGGGGGGTCATCAGAGGTCATTCCTTGAAAGGGTTTCCTTAAAGAAGCAGAACCTTGGTGAACATCACCTTGTCTGAGGTGGTGCCTGACAATGACTCCCAACAATGGATACAGTGTAACCATGACCATTACAGAAAGTAGAATAAACTGAGACCTGATGTCACAGAGCCACTAAACCAGCATGACTTGTAGCCACTCCATGTCTGGACTGTGTTTTTTTCCCAAGAGACTATTTGTTTCTAAGCCAGTTGGCTTAGGAATATTCTGCTGGTAACAACAAGACAATCTACCTGGTGTAGCATTACACTTTGTAGGAGTTATGCAATTCAGAAGTGGACTTTTGCTAAATCATTTATTTTGATGTGTCAATAGAGAGATTTATTATCTGTAAATTTGTATGTAAATAATCTGAGCACTGAAAATGAACTTGAAACAAATGTGTATGCTTCCTTGGGCTGTTTTGTCACTGACCTGTGTTTGTGTGTGTACATGTTGTGGGGAGGTCTGAGGACAACTTCTGGTTTCTTCCTTGTTTGCTGAGACGGGGTGTCACTAACTGACCAGGAGTTTATAAGTAAGCCAGACTGGCCAAGCATGTGTCAGGAGCCACCTGTCTCCAGCTCCCCATTGCTGCAGTTACAAGAGCCCATGGTTACCTTTTGTACATGGATGGAACCGAGTCATCATGTGTGTGCAGCAGGCACTTCACCAACAGCCATCCACTGCCATAGATGGCTTTTTTCACATGGGTTCTGGGAATCAGACTCAGAGCCTCATGAAGGTGAGGCAGGCACTTTGCCAACTAAGGCCTTGTTTTGTCTTGTTAGTTTTGAGATACCAGTGTTGCACTGTAGCCCTGATAAGCCTTGGACTCGTGGTAATCCTCCTGCCTTAATCTCCCAAGTGTGAGAGTACAGATGTGAGTTACTATGAGCAGCTTGACTTGTAAAATTAACTTTTGGAAGCAGACACAGGTCTACTTCCATTTTCTAATACATTTTGTTAGGGGCAGTCGAGCTTGCACATGGATCATTGCTTACCTTTGGCAATATGTGGTGTGGGGTAAGGATCTAGTTTTGTTCACCATCAGATTGTTATCCTGGTAACCCATCTTTTGATCAATTTATTATACAAATTGTCACATTCCTTGTGTATAAGACTCATATAGCTTCTATTTTGTTACTCAGCACTCCCCATCCTCCATGTCCTTGTATAATTCTGAATATGCTGTGTAACAAAAACTTAAAAGTCTGGTAGGTAGTTTAGTTTGGTATTGGAACAAAAGTTGGTAGTATATTTGTTGAAATGGTATCTACATCAAGGCATAATGCCTGTAATCGCAGCACTTTGAAGATGGAGGCAGAACAACTGAAAGGTCCAGGCCAGCCAGGAGTAGACACACACACACACACATGCACGCGCACACACACACACACGAAGCTTTCCCACAATTGTATCATAACTTGATGACACAATATACATTTGGGGATGTGTGTTTTGTATGTGTGCTTGTGGAGGTTCAAGGTGAATACTGGGTGTCTCTCCTTCATTACTCTGTTACTTTCTGAGACAGGGTCTCACTGGACCTGAAGCTTACAGATGCATGTCTAAATTGGCTGGCCAGTGAGCTTCAGAGATCCACCTGTCTCTACTCTTAGCCTCTATGACTTGAGTTACAGGTATGTATCACCATGTCCACTTTTTACATGGATTTCAAAGATTGTACAAGAGACACTTTATTGACTGAGCCATCTCCTCAACCCATAATACACATTCAAAGAAAAAGTGAAGATAGACTACCAAGGACATTCCATGTGTGCCTTGGATTTGCCCTTTCTTCATTCCTGCCGTCTCTTACTGCCTGTAGTTGTAGTCCAACTCTAGCCAGGAAGCCACATGACCACCCCCCAAATTATGGCAAGCTTTGTAGAATACTGCTTCTACTTACATAAAATGACAGGTACAAGGAAATTTCTCTTGCCACACAGGTAACTATGAGAAATCAATTGCTCTCATACCTATGAAAATGGAAAAAACAAAATCTATCCATTGGATTTTTAAAATACATTTATCTGTATGTGCATGAGCACCTGAATGTATGTGTGCACATTATGTGGACAGAAGCCCGTGGGAGTCAGAAGATTTTCAGGTCCCCTGAACTGGAGTTACACATGGTTGCTAGCCACCACATGATTGCTGGGGTTTTCTGCAAGAGCAGCTGAACATCTCTCCAGCCCCCTCCTCTGTTGGATTTAAAGTTTATGATACTTGTGAAAATGATGGGCTAGCACAGGCGACTTGTTGCTACCACCTGAAGCTGGAGAGGGCACTGATGCAATAACAGTGTGGACACAGGGATTAGAGCAAGTGAAGCACTCTAGGAAAGTTGTGTGGCAACAGGCGCTAATGATTGGGGTCTCATGAAGGCCTTTCCTTCCTATACAACCTTTTAGAGAAACTCAAGGGTCTTGGGAGATGGCTCAGTTGAAGTGCTTGCCATGCAAACATCAATCTGAGTTTGTTCCCCAGCACCTGCTGGGGCTGGGGAGACAGGAGGATCCCTGGGGTTCACTAGCCTGCCAGCAAGTTGGTGAGCTCTAGTGAGACCCTGTCTCAAAAATAAGGTGGAGAGTAACGGAGGGAGACATCTAGCATCAACCTCAAGCCTGCATGCACATGAGCATGCATACAAACATTTTCATAGACACAGTTTTTAATATATGCCTGAACCATGTGTGCAGGAGCCTTCAGAGGTCAGAAGAGGGGTCAGATCCCCTAAAACCAGAGTTACAGATGATTGTGAGCCATGTGGATGCTGGGAACTGAATCTGGTTCCTTTAGAAGAGTAACCAGTGCTCCTAACTACCAAGCTGTCTATCCAGTCCCACATTTTAAAAACAACAAAAGCCAAGAGACACACATTCTAATTTTGACAGGTGAAATGATAAAAATTATGTCTCGAATGGGGAAAGCAGATAGGAATATGGATGAAGCAAATTCAGTGTAAGTGTTCCGTTTTTATCCTTATGTATATGGTGCTTTCTCTGACTGTGCACCACAGACATTCCCTGTGCCTGCAGAGCCAGGAGGAGTTGCAGAGGGCTGTGAGTTGCCATGTGGGCGCAGATCCTCTGGAAGAGCAGCCAGTGCTTTTTATTTTTAAGATTTATTTACTTATTATGTATACAGTGTTCTATCTGCACGTATGTCTGCATGCCAGAAGAGGGCACCAGATCTCATTACAGATGGTTGTGAGCCACCATGTGGCTGCTGGGAATTGAACTCAGGTCCTCTGGAAGCGTAGCCAGTGCTCTTAACTGCTGAGCCATCTCTCTTGTCTCTTGTTTTTTAGACTACAACTCACTACATAGCCCATTTTACTCTGGAACTTAGATCTTCCTACCACTGCCTCCCAAGTATTGGGATATAGGTATATGTCACCATGCACAACTCTACACGGTATGCTTTGAGGTGGGGGAAAAGCAAGTTGCTGAACATCATTCTAAAGTATGCTCTTACTCTGAATCACTTCGATATAGGCATGTGCACATGGGCGGGAGCCCGGGTATTGACTGGGTAGGACGAATTTTGGAAGTTTTACAATTCACATCTAACTTAAAATCTGGGGGGGGATGAACAAGGAAGATAAAACTGATATAACTAAAAATTTAAAGCCATTTTTATTATATAAGCAGCCAATTAAAGGGAGGGAGGAGGAGAGGGAGGGAGATAGAGAGCGCAGTATCTGAAGAGATCAAGTTAAAAAATTATAAAGGCTGAGAAAACAGGTGGAAGAAAAAATGAAGAGGAAGGTAGAGGGAGAGAATGTACAGGCATAATGACCCTCCAAACGTCAGCTTTGGCTGGTCACGTTTCCTACCCAACATAACTCCAGCTGCACATCAATGGTGAGCTTAAGCAAGGACCTGTTTGGACTTTCTTGGTAGGCTGAGATCTGATGGTTACCCATCTTTGTCTTTTGAAGCGTCTACTTCCTAAAAGTCTGGGCTATTTTTTTGTTTGAGGTACAGTATCTGTGTAGCCTAGGCTGGCCTCAAACTCATGGAGCTGAAAGTGATCATGAGCTTGTGATCCTCCTGGCTTCACTTTCCCAGTGCTGGGATAACAAGCACATACCAACCATGCCTGGTTTATGGAGTTATAGGGATGAAAAGTTGAATACTGGGCAAGTACTGTACCCACTGAGTACTGTATCCCTTGCCCAGCCTGATTGTTGTTTTAATGGAGACACTAGTTTCCTTTATTCCGATGCCTCAAATCATATCTGCGTATTTTTCAGACCTGTTGGGGAAAGATCCTATTACAGAGACTGAATAAGAAGAGCCAGCTTAAAGGGAGTTGCGTGGGAACTCCAGGGGTGGCCATGCCTTTGTGGATTTCGAGTAGGTAAGCCCCATAGCACTGGAGCCCATGAGAAAAGGCAAAGGCGTGGGTCTTGCACACTGAAAAGGGAGACCTCTCAAAGGTTAGCCAAATTAATCCCTGCTGTGTCCTATGTGTGTTGTTCCAAAATCACGGCAGTGAAGCATCCCAGCAAGACGTGGTGGGCACAGGCCAAATTCATGATGTGCCATGCAGAATTGATTCTGATTTCGCAGAAGGGAAAAAAGTCAGAAAGGAGACGGGCCTTGCAGAGTGAGTGTCCCCGATGGACACCAAGGTGGGGCAAAAAGCAGAGTCCAGTCCCAACGCTTGTTTCTCCATCTTTATTAAAGCTAGGTCCTCCTGCCCACAGCAGAGGGGCAGGGTGGGAACCGCTGGGGACCAGGAGGGATGAGAACGGTACCCTTCCAGCCCACCCTGCCTTGGCTTTTTCTGAAATTCATGTCCCAGAAGACAAGGAAGAAGAAAAAAATGGGACAGAGAGGCCACTGCTGAGCAATCAGGACCCATGCCTTCCCCCTCTACCTCACCTGGTCAGGTAAGTTCTGACCATCACCACCCCAGCGCTCCTCCCACCCCTGGACTACCCACCCAGCACCTAGCAGCCTGCCTGTTAGCTCTTGGGCCCCAAGGGTGTCTCTACACTACAACAAAGGATCTAGGTCTAAAAGGGGATGCAGCTGGAAATCTCACTTCTTTAGCTCCCAGTCACACTAGCCCAGAATTCATGGAGGGTGGGAGGGGCTTGTGCGAGCCACACCTCAGATGCCAGCAGTCCAGGCTGGAGAGTTAGCTATGCACTGTGCAAGGCCTTGCATAGTAAGGCGCTGTGAGCTCAGGTCCGCGTGATGCCTTATGTGGACCACTAGCACTGTGCAAGTCACCAGTCCCTCTGTGGGCCAAGGACCCATCCGAGGCAGGAGCACTACCTGCCTCTAGGATAGGGTGATTACAGAAGCAGAGTTAGGCTTGCAGAGGATGTAGGGCCCTTATTAGAAGCTGAGAGGGAAGGTTCCTGGACCCACCCCAGTACTGTGAAAGGCTGAGCACAGGGAGCAGTCCCCTGCTCCAGCGGAGGGCGCTGCGAGGGAACTACTCTGCCCACACCAGGCACTCCGAAGATGTCCGCGTGTGCCCCTTGCAGCCACTAGAGAACCAACAAGCTTAGAGGGGATACCAATACCAAAACCCACCTGTAGCCAGTGCTCCACAGACCTGTGTTCAGGGGTTGGAGTAAGGGTTTTCAAAGAATAAGGCTTCCGACTCCCCGCAGATCTAGTCAACATTTGCAACCTGGCTACCCATTTGGTATCTTGCTTTTTCAACTCCTCCCCAGTCTTCACGCCTTACAAAAGATGGAAATAAACACCCACAGTCGACAGAACACAAACTTTCCCTGTTTGCAACTCCATCCCTCCGAAGCCTAGTGAGGCTCCTGCCTGCCACGAACCACGTTCTTAAAACTTCCTGGACACATTCAAGTGACAGGAAGACGGTTCCTGAATCTCGTAGTAGAGTGGGAAGAAGCCAAACCCACCAAGAAACCCAGATGAGGAGCAGAGCAGCCGAATGATCTCTCGCTCTCTCCCGACGCTAGGGCTTCTCCCTCGCTTATCAGAAAGCCGGAGCCAGACTCCTAAGCCGCTGGCTCTACGGGCCACCTGAATCGGAATCCGTGATGAACGAACTGGCCTTGCCCGCTCTCCCTCCAGGGATGAGGCGCTCTTGATCAGGGTGGTGGCCCGTGCTCACCCAAGCGAGATCAGAAGCTCGGGGCGATAGGGCCCAGAGGCACCCAAGATTGGGAATCCTCAGCCCGCGTCGAGGAGCGGGAGGTGCCGCGCACTTCGACCAACCTCACTGGACGCTCTCCTCGTAGGCGCCCGAGGGCCCGGCGAACGCGGCGGGATCGGAGCCAAAGCTGGTTCCGCCTGCGAACTCGAGTAGCGTTCCGGACCCGGAACCCGACCCCGGTGGCGGCGGAGGCGGCGTTACCTTGGTAGGTGCCGGGGCCTTGGCAGTGGTGCTCTGCGCCTGCGCACCTGCCTGCCCGCGGTGCGTCTTCATGTGCGTGAGCAGGTGCGAGCTCTGCGAGAAGCGGCGGCCGCAGTTGGCGCATGCATACGGCCGTTCGCCCGTGTGCGTGCGCTGGTGCGTCACGAGCACAGATCGCTGAGAGAAACGCTTGCCGCACTCTGGGCAGGGGAAGGGCCGCTCGCCGGTGTGACCGCGCCGGTGCTTGGCTAGGTTGGAGCGCTGCGCAAAGCCGCGACCGCAGTCGGCGCAGCGGAACGGCTTCTCGCCCGTGTGCGTGCGCCGGTGCCGCTTGAAGTCCGAGCTGTGGCCGAAGCCCTTGCCGCAGTCGGGGCAGCGGTGCGGCTTCTCCTCGGCGTGCGCCCACTGGTGCCTGGTCAGCGCCGCGCTCTGGCCGAAGCGCCGGCCGCACTCGCCGCACGCGTAGGGCCGCTCGCCCGTGTGTGCGCGCCCGTGCGCCGTGAGATGCGCGCGCCGGCTGAAGCCCGCCCCGCACACGCCGCACACGAACGGCTTCTCGCCCGTGTGGCCGCGCACGTGCGCCGCCAGGTGCGAGCCGCGGGCGAAGCGAGCACCGCACTCCGGGCACGGGAAGGGCCGCTCGCCCGTGTGCGTGCGCCGGTGGCGCGCCAGGTGCGAGCCGTACACGAAGCTCTTGCCGCAGTCGGCGCAGCGGTGCGGCCTTTCGCCTGCGTGGTAGCGCTGGTGCTTGGCCAGGGCCGCCCGCCGCCCGAATGTCTTGCCGCAGTCGGAGCAGATCCACGGGCTCTCCTCCTCCGCCACTGCGGAGGGTGCGGGCTCGGCCAGCAGCGACCCGACAGCTGGAGCGAACGCTCGCAGGCCACCATCCGGCCCGACTCTGGAGCCCGCGCTGCGGAACGAGTCACAAGCCAACCCCGTGCTCTCCAGGGACAGCGGGGCGCCCAGGGGGCCAGAGAGATGGCGCCTGTCGGCCTGCATTCGTTCGGAGAACTCGGGGAACCCCAGTATGGGGAAACCATCCGGATGTAGCCAAGACTTGGGGTGCATGGGAAAATGGAAGCCGAGCGGGTGCGAGGAAGGCCCTTCGCTCAGGCCGTTGCCCATCTCACGGAACCGCCTGTCTGGCTCAGGGTCCTTCTTGCTGTGGGGGACAGTGGCTTCTGCCGCTGCAGCTACCACCTCCTCGTCCTCTCTGGCTTCAGCCTCGGTTTCTCCATCTGCCACACCAGTCCCGGGCTCTTCCGTCTCCTCGTGCCTGGCCTCCATTTCCTCTGGCTCCGCTGTGGCTACAGCTGCGACTGCCATCTCCAGCTCGTGGGGAGCCATCCCCGTGCCACCGCCGCCGCTGGGTTCCGTGCAGCCGCCGCGCCGGTGTCTCTGGAAGTCGGCGCGCAGGCGGAAGGCCTGGCCGCAGTCCGGGCAGCAGTGAGGACGATCGGCAGTGTGCACAGCCTGGTGGCGGGCGAGCGCTGAGCTCTGACTGAAGCTCCGGCCGCAGTGTAGGCACGGGTAGGGCCTCTCTCCTGTGTGCGTGCGCTGGTGGGTCACCAGGTAGGAGCGCCGCCCGAAGCCTGCGCCGCAGAAGGCGCAGCGGTAGGGTCGCTCCCCTGTGTGGATGCGCCTGTGCGTGACCAGGTGCGACTTGTAGACGAAGCGCTTGCCACAGTCCGGACACGGGAAGGGCTTTTCGCCGGTGTGGGTGCGCTGGTGGATGGCCAGGTGCGAACGGTACACAAATCCCTTGCCACACTCCTCGCAGCCGAAGGGCTTGACGGCCGCGTGGTAACGCTGGTGCTTGGCCAGGCGCGAACGGTGGGGGAACACTTTGCCGCACACGTTGCAAGTAGTCTCTGGATGTCCGATGGGGACAGCCACTGCAGGAAATGCCCAGGGAGCCAGGAAGTTCTCCCCAGGCTCCCGGCCAGACAGGAAATGTTTAGCTCCTACCTCTTCGGCCAGGATACCGAGACTAACTGGGTTGGGTCCCCAACCAACTGGAGCCTGCACCAAATCTGAGTCGTCAGGACCCCAAGTCCCAGGCACATCCCCCACACCATAGGCTGCAGACCATAGCCCAGGGGGCTCATTCTCCTCCTCTGCCATCTCAGCAAGGAAGTCCTCGTCATCTTCCTCCTCATGGTCCTCTATGTCATCGTTCCAGAACCAGGCTCCTGAAGGTGAAAAGACACAAGAATAATGGTACAGGAGTTTGGCAAGGAAATTGCCCTACAATCCCTGGAACAGACCTGCTTCATTAAGTCAGAGGTGGTGCATGCCATAGCCAATCCCTTCCAGCTCCAAAGCGGCAAGCCGGCCGCCGGTCTGACCCCAATTAGGGACTTCATAGAGGCCCAGCGTGCACACCTGGCCAGGAAGACGGGGACCCTCTAGGGCTTGGCACTCTGTAGAGAATGGGAGACTGCAAAATGGGTAGTTTATCAGCATGTTCTTGCGCACAGAAAAAGGCACTGGGATAAAACCTGGGCGCTGCAGTCCCCAGGCACCCAGCATGGCCTGGAGGACCTAGCGTTTCCCCCTCCAGCTGTCTTTCCCAGTGGCCAGGGAGTTCTCGTCTACTCTAGACAGCAGAAACAGGAATGGCCAGGTAGGGGAGAGCCTATGGGCTCTCACCTTAAAGAAGTCCCAGGAGCTGTGCACATGGGGTGCCCACTGTGAGGTCACCCCAGCTTCATTTTCTTGAACTCTGCATTTGAGAAACTTCAGGCCAGCTGAGACTGTGGGTACTGTGAATGCCTCTGGACTTTCTGCCACTGATCCCTCCCCCACTGAGATGCACCCTGACTCATTCTTCAGTCCTTCTAGGGATTGTGTGGGCTCTAGAATCGAGTCTGCAGGGCTGTCTTGTTGCGGAAATGAGCATGTAGATACACCCAGGACACACAGGGACACGGCCTGGATCACGGGTGCTCCTGGGTGTTGAGAGTTCCTGTGTGCGGATCTCTTGTGCACCATGCCCATCAGATCTCAGCAGCTGGATTCTGAAGGCAAAGGTCTCACCCCATTTAGATCCAGGCTCACCCACTGGCCTGGGTGAGTCTGGACCACAGAAGCCAGGTCTGGGCCAGGAAGTCTGAAAAGCCAGGGTAGCTTCATATGCAACCCCAGTTCTGCAAACTAGATGTCATTCACAGAAGATAGCATAGCCAGAGAATTGTGAGGGCCTAACTACAGATGTGAATAAACATGCTGTTCACATGAAAGGACAAGAAAATGTGTTACTTTGTTTGCTTAGTCTGAAACACTTTCCCAATTATTCTAGTAATACATATTTAGAAGTTTTAGATGGAAAAATAGCTTAAGCTGAGTTCATCTCCAGCTGCCAGCATGGCCACCAGACTGACAAGAAGTATGTGGAGAGGCCCTGTTGCTGGCAGCATCCCTTTGTTCAGCCACAAGTTTCCAAACCTAGGAAGGGGGAAGCGGCCCTGGGGCAGGGAGAAGATGGCTGACATCAAATGTTCCCTAGGCTCTGGTGAGAGGCTTACGTAGTTTTTAACTAGACCCCAGTTAAGTCAGGGGGAGCTGATCCCGAGGGACGAATACAGTCTGCTGGGTCTGCCAGTCTGTGACTCTCCAGGAGCTGAGAGAATAGACTGGCACTTGCCTGAAGTCCAGGAATAGCAGGAATGTCTGCTCTCTCAGGATGAGCCCCTGCACCTGATTCCACCACACAAAGTTCTGCAGGGAGACCAATCCTGAGAGGGCCTGGGGGATCACACTGCTACCTCTGGAGCTGGTATGACCACTGCCAACAAGTACCAGGCCTGTGTTAAGTTCAGTGACTTGATGGAGGCCAGCACTGATGCAGGGTGATGAAACAACCCCTAGCCCTGGAGAAAGCTGGTTCCACCCCAAGGTGAGACCTCAGGAAGCTGCTGGGCTTCTGGGAGACCAGCTTTGGATCTTCATTCCCTGCTTCAAGGTGTTTGCTTCAAGTTTAGAGGTCATAGCTGTGGAGTGTACCATCTCAAGGAACAGCCAGCCCACTGGCAGACTTGAGCTGAGGTCTGTTAGTCTGGGGTGAGGAGCATCAGGCCTGCTGTCAGTCGAGACACACATGGAGGGTGTGGTGTCTTCCTGAACAGCTGGACAACAGTGGGGAGGGTAGCAATCCAGCAGGTGACCCTGAGGGCCAAACTCAGACCCATGGGGAGTAAGGTAGGGATGGGTGTTGCCTTGCACCTAATGTTTGCTCCAGAGATTGGACCATGGGTGAAGGATGATTAGGTGGGCCTCCAAGAAGAGTCCGGGGCACAAGGCCAACTGTCTAGCCAAAATACACAGCATTGCCATAAGGACATGTTTACAAACCGTGTGCTGAGCTGGAGACACCTGGACTCTGGTGAAACAGGTTTCCTGCTCTCCATGGGGGAAAGATGAGAGCTGATGGGGGGAGCAAACGAACAAGTGTGAGAGCCAAGGGGGACCCTCGGGACTGTGGGCTATCACCAGTTTCCCCCACGTCTGCAAATGTCACCTGGTCAGTCTCTGTCACAGTGGCTGGCGGTGTGAGTCTTACAGGTCTGTTCCTTTGAAGCATAACGCTGGGAATTCATAAGCTCAAAACTATCTTATTCCATTGCATTCCTCCCTAGGGGCTCTCCCATGGCGTATGTCCCCAGTCTGCTGGATTTTCCGAGGATTGCCTGGGCCAAGCTGAGCCCTTCACCCAGATCTTTTACTCCAGGGACCCTGAGCAGGCCAGTCCCCTCCAAGGCTACAGGGTGGGGTGCTGGCTGTCTTGGGGGCAATCTGTCAGCAGTTGCAGAGAACCAGGGATCCTGACAAGGCATGGCAGGCACAGAGGTTCCCAGTCAAGGTGCCATTTTGTTTCCATTGGCAACCAGTTCTCCTGAGGTCCCCAAGTAGTATTTGTACCTGTCTTCATGTCCCCCTCCCCATAATCTTCACCTAAGTCACAGAAACTGAGGATGAGCTCAGGCAGAATTCCTTTCCTTTTTGGGGACAGTCCCCAAGGGAGGAGGCATACCAAAAGGATGCCCACGTATATGGATGTGGCAGCCTCACTGTGGGCTGCCAGGAAGGTGTCTGAACAGCAGTCTGGGAAGGTAGCCAGCTTCTACACTGGCATCGATCTGGCCATGCCAACAGGTCTGGAAGCAGGCAGCCCTTCTGCGGAGATGGACACTGGGCCGTTTCTGGGGAGTGGCTTCTAAAAGACCAGCAACTCTGTGGCCTTGATGTCCTCATGGGTGATGTATGGATTCAACACCAAGGCTCAGGTACTAAGAGGAGCCAAGGCTAGCATTTGTCACGGGGATTTGGGAGGAGGAAGCATTCCCTCACCCCATCAGAGCCTCCAGCACTTGGATACCTATCTGCCCTTTGCCCCAGATGCTAAGAAGTCAGCCTCTATGCCAGATGTTCCCTTACTTTTTCCCTTCTACCCACACTAAGCCCAGGGACCTAGGGGACGACAGGGCTTAGCCCCTCATGCCCTGGCTAGGACTAGGGGACTCTACTACCCAGGTTCCCTCCAGGACATGCTAGGTGAAACCCTCTAAAGTCCATAGTTGTTTACAGCTGTGTGCCAGACTGCGTGCTGGGAGTGTTTATGCACTACTCCTGGCTGCGAGACCTCCCCCCCCCATCACCCTCCCTTTGCTGTGCTCATTTGTGCTTAGCTGAACCACTAGGTAACTGATAGTTGCTGTGTGTGCCCAGATGGAGACCAACTGTCCGCAGGCTGGCAGTGTGCACTTTGAGATCAGTCTTAAGATCGCATGCGGGACTCCAGAACCCCCAGCTGTGCTTACTTGCTACTTACGGGTTCTCAGGGCCTCTTAAACTACATTGCCATCTGTTAAACATCTGTGTTTCAGCTGGTTCAATCCTCGGTGTTGTGTTTCCTTTCTAGCCTTCACTTTCAGAAAAGGGACTGGGAAGATGACTTGGTTAGCACTTGCCACCGAGGTACAAACACCTGAGTCCACCTAGGTCCAGTTCCCAGCACCCAGGTGAAAAGCCTGATGTGGAAGTGCGTGCGTGTAATCCAAGAATAGGGAAAGCAGAGGTGGGTGGACTCCTGGGCTCGCTGGCCAGCCAGCCTAATCGTCAAACCCCAGATTCCAGTGAGAAACCAAGTCTCAACAAGGGGACAGCTCCTGGGTTGGCTTCTGGCCTCCATGAACACCTGTACACACATACCAAGAAAGGAAAAGGGGCTGAGACCTCAGCAGAGGGAGAGGAGGTTGTCCTCACAGAGCAGGTGCTGCTCTGGCCAGCGCAGCCTCTGGGGGCCGCTGAAACACCAAGCGCTAGGTGAAGCAAAAGGCCAGGGGCAGTCACCTAGCGCCAGGGCAGCAGCCGGCAGGGCAGTGCTTTCTCCAGCGGCATTCTCTGCTCCAGTGTAGACCGGAGGCAGGAAACAGGGTTAAGCCAGGGGCAGGGATCTCTCCAGGGCCACATGGGTGTTCATACGGACCCGGAACAATGAGATGGAAGCTGGGTCAGGAGGGTGAGCTGGCCAGACACTGCTGGAGTGAAGAGCTGACGGTGGTGGCCAGGGTTGCTAGGATACCTAGAGCACAGGCTGAAGGACAAGCGGAACTCTGAGGACCACGCAAAGACGGCAACACCTGAGTGAAGGCATGTGGCTGGAGGCTCACACCTCATGTACAGGTGAACTCACAAGGGGCAGAGGAGAGGAAACAGAGTCTTGTACACAAAGATGGCAACACCTGAGTGAAGGCATATGGCTGGAGGCCACACCTCATGTACAGCTGAACTCACAAGGGGCAGAGGAGGGGAAATAGAGTCTTGTTTTACAAGGCTAACTTAGAAGTCCAGATGGCCAGTCTTGGGACAGTTAGTGTCTATCCTGCCAGACTCAGCCACTCTCAGGGCCCAGATGACACTGCTGGGTAGAGACACTGAAAAGCAAGGCAGAGAGAGGTGACACTCAACCACTGGTTGTCCTCAGAAGGAAGACCTGAGGGCTTCACTGGGCCAGAGCTGCTCCCTGAACCTCCATCCATATCCCCTGTGGGCAGTCATGTGACACATCAAAGACATGCCCTGGGGGTTGGGGAGGTAGCTCAGTAAGTACTAGTGTTTGCTGTGCAAGTACGACCAATGGAAAGCACTGAAGCATGAGTCCAACCCATCATCCTATGAGGGACAGGAGAGTCCCAGGAAGCTCACAAGCCACTAGCGGGGCCTATGTAGAGCTGAGAAATAAAGACACCCACCCAAACAAGGTGGATGTTGAGGACTGATGCCCAAGGTTGTCCTCTGACCCCACACACATAAAGGTGTTTTTGTTTGGTTTTCTTCACTGTGGAGCCCTGGCTGGCACCAATCTCAGATTCACCTGCCTTAGCTTAAAGGTGTGCACTCACACTGGGCTTAAGATGAAATGTTTTAAAAGATGTTCATGGGTCCTGTGCCAACTGATAAGTCTGCAGCCGGGGTCAGGCTGAGACATTTCAGGCCACCAGCCTCAGCACCATGGCTTGTTTTTTTTTTGTTGTTTTTTTTTTTTCGAGACAGGGTTTCTCTGTATTGTTTTGGAGCCTGTCCTGGAACTCGCTCGGTAGACCAGGCTGGTCTCGAACTCACAGAGATCCGCCTGCCTCTGCCTCCCGAGTGCTGGGATTAAAGGCGTGCGCCACCAACGCCCGGCCTGCACCATGGCTTGTTACAGAAGGCACAGAGCCACTGCCCAAGTTAACAAGTCCTCTCAGAGAGCTTTCAAACCTCATCCAGGTGCACAGCCCCACGGCACCTGTCATCTGGTGTCACCTGCACTGAAAGGACAAGGCTCTTTCCCACATCTTGAACCTACACTCTAGAGGTTGGCCAGTGTTGGCCTGTGTGTGTCCTGCTCTCTCTAAGTGGTTTTTCTGAATGTGCCCATGAATGGAACATATCTCCTATGGGGTCCTCAAGAAACTCTACCTACTTATGAGCCTCACCTGAAAGAGTCCTCGCTGCCCCTCACTGAGCTGCTGTGAGGACACTCAGGCATGTTACCAGAGTGAGGTTTTCCATCTTCTCATTTTAATACACATCTATGATAACTCCAGGTCAGTTCACTGTCCCACCTTGGGCTGACGACACCCCAGTCGCAAGAGGAACACCTCCAGGCAAGGGCCTCCATCACTACAAAGTCCTAGTGAGACGCACAGACCCCACAGATACTCAGTGTGACCAGAGCCCAGAATACTCAGGTTGGAATCTATGGGTTTAGCCCAGATTCTCTTCTTATGAAGTGGGACTCAGGGAGTTGAATGGGCAGAGGCTGAGCCAGTGTGAGGCACCCAGAAGTCCACATTTCGATGCCTTCCATACACATCACCTCAGAACTCTCCTGGAAGCTTTAAACGGCTTACCCAGGTCGGAATCTGAAGACCTGAGTTAAATCCCAAACTCATACATACAAAACAAAAAACAACAAAATTGGCACTACACTCACTGGAGGGGCAGAGATGGGCAGCTCCCCATAGCCCACTGGCCAGCCAGTCCTCTCAATTGGTGAGTCTTGGATAGCAGTAATACCCTGTCTTAAAAAGCAAGCTGGATGGCTCTGGAGGAAGCAGAGGGACTAAGGGTACCTTATGAAGAAAAGGCCAAAATGGGTGGGAAACCAGAAAACTGGTTAGTCTGAGTATGGAGAGCCACACTGACAGTCTGGTAGGTTTCTGTGCCTGCTTAACAACTCCCTTCACAGACAAAGCAAACCAAAACACCTCACAGATTCCTAGATGGGAACAACAGAAACCACTTAAGGTTCTCGAAGGACATACCAGCCCTTAGACCTTTGAGAAGCTGGACCACGGGGACTCAAGAGGAGAAGGCAGGGGCCAGCACACAGCAGCCTGCCTGTCTCCTCACAGCTACCCCAAACCCCAGACAAATGAGCATTAACAACATCAGGGAAGCATAGGGACCAGGTGCAGGTCTTCGGATGGTTTGCCTTGATAAAGGCTCAAGCCGGACACAGCTCTGAGCAATCATGCTGGCAGAAACCCCTCAAGACTCATCTCTCACTCACCCGTGTAGACACCGGTGACGATGTCTCCCTCCTCAGGATGGGGGCTGTCTGGGACCCAAGGTTCTTCTCCTTGTTCCAAGTGGAAGATCAGATCTGGCTTAGGGATTGGGTATCCTACCCAGGAGAGACAAAGACGGTCACTGTATGGGTGGCTGTCCCAAAAGGGCCCAGGCCATCCCTGTCCACACTCAAAGCCTCTGCTCTCTACCCTCCCAGGACCAGCCCTCCCCCACGACCTCTGCTCTGAGAGATCCTACAATCCACTCCTGGAAACTTTGCCTTCCACACCCACCCCACACACCCTCACCAGCAGGAAACCCACAGTTCTCTTCCTACCTATCGGTTTCTGTGCAGTTAAGAGGCCAGAGTGGACCACCAGCTTCACAGCATGCCTCCACCTGGTTTGGACCCCGGAACCCAGAGGCCGAAAGGGCTGACTGCTCCAAAATCCAGGAGCTCAAGAGGCACTCCCTTTGACAGCAGGCTGCCTCAGGGTCCTTCCTTACCCAAGGAGACCAGGATCCCATAGTTCTCCTGCATTACTTCCCGGTAGAGGTCCCGCTGCTCCACATCCAGCCTCTCCCACTCCTCCAAAGAGAAGTACACAGCCACATCTTCAAAAGTCACCAGCCCCTGAAGAGCACAGAGTCCCAGGAGAGAGGCTGAGGGGATGCCCACGCAAGTAAACATAGTGGGGACATGGCCCGGCACCCCATTATTGATGGCTCTACACGTGCCCATATGGCGCTACGGTCTCTCAGGCCTCTCACCCTGTGACGGGGGCCCATATACTACTCATCAAACTCAGAGAAGCAGAACCATAGCTACCACGGCCCCTCCTATGTCACACAGACTAGTCCCAGCAAATACCTTGGCTACGTCAACAGGTGAGCAATAGACAGGTGGTACCAGCTAAACTGAGTGTGGGTACTGATGTCTGACCAAACAGGCGAGAAACAGACCCCAGGAGAGGATAGGCATTCTAGAAGAATCCAACCTGACCTGGGAGTGGCATGGGGGCAGCCATGCCCAGTACAGTTGAGTGGGAAGTAGCCAGAGTACTCAGAACAACATAATGGCCTGGGAAGGGACAGGGACCTGGAACAACAGAACCACATAAACCCTGGGCCTGGAAGCTAGATCCTTGTCCTCACTTAAGAGCAAGAACCACATAAACCCTGGGCCTGGAAGCTAGATCCTTGTCCTCACTTAAGAGCAAGAACACACAGAGGGCCCGAGACCACAGCTGACCAGAGCATATGGGGAGGGCAGCTCACCTGAGTCAGGAAATGCTCGTCATCTTCCTCTTCCTCCTCTTCCTCCAGTTCCTCATCCTGAATAGTAGGAGATGCCCGGGGGGCCTGCAGGGCTGAGAGGAAGACCACTCAGAGCCAGTGGCACCGGCTGGCAAGCAGGGTGGAGCTCCCGGCTACTCCCAGACCTGAGACCCAGGTCCAGGCACATCTTCATGACCCCAGCCTCTTCCTCCCCCATGCAGCGTGGGGAGGTCCTTGTTCCTACCTTTTCCTTGAACTGGCGACCTGACATCACCACCATTGCTAAGCTGCCCCTGGGTCCCCTCCTCGGCCAGCACCTCCTCCGCACTGTCAGCATCAGCCTTGTGCTCTGAGTTGGCCTCCGCCTGTGTGGCCACTTCCTCTTCCTCCACGGCTACCTCTGCCTCCACCTCTGCCTCCTCTCTCCCCTTCTCCTCCTCCTTCTCTTCCTCCTCCTCCTCCTCAGGGTCAGCATCACATTCCGACCCATCTTCTGCAGGCTCCGGCTGGGTAGCTGGGGAGTCTGGAGTAGTGTGAAGGGCGGCCATCATCCCTAGGAGAGAGCCTCTGTGTGGCCTGAAACACAGAGGCACTTTGCAGGGGAACCCGCAAGGGCTGAGGAAGGACCATGTTCTGTCTGTCACCTCAGGTTGTGCAACTGGCAGGTGATTTACCCAGAAAGGGCTCCTCCCCACAATCCTCTGGGACAGGGCTTCTGTTCTCTCACCAGCAGCCATGTGTCTAGTGTGAGCCTGTTCCTAGGTAAGCCACCCATTATCCCAATCCTTAAGGACCAGGAGAAGCATGGAGTGCAGCCAACACAGTCCCAGGGATCCATGTTTACTGATGGGTAAGTGTACCCTACAAGGGGCAGCCTGTCCCACACCGGAAGCAAAGACAAGCAGCTTACCCAGCTCTCCGCACACATGAGCCAGGGCAGGCCCAAGCACTGTCAGACCACTGACACCTATGCAGCTTTGAGGGGCAGAGTGGGGTGCGGGCTGGAAGAGGATCCTGCTTCGTGTCTTCAGGGGAAAAGAGAGATGGCAGTCAGCAAGCTCTCAGGCCCACTCCTGTGAGTCAAAAGAGAGACAGGGCCATGAGCAGACATCACTCCACCTACTTATATCTGACTCCAAGGGTGTTGTGAAAACCTCAGCCAGTTCAGGAGGTGGAGTCCAGCTCATCACTAGGCTAGCACAGGTGACATGCAAGGTGACACTCCTCCAAAAGTTCATGGATCAGAGAACAGAATGGTTGAAATGTTAACACCTTACAGGCTCACAGGGTCCTACTCCCCTGGTGATGCCACAGACGCAGTTCAGCTGCACCTGGCCTGGAGCCTAGAGCCACCAGCATAATGGGCTAGTAGCAGGGCTCCTACAGTCACTAATCTAGCCCATGTCTACAAAGAAGCAGCCTCGTGACTCTCAAGGGCTGGACAGTTATGTTGTCTCTTTTACTGTATTTATTTGTGGAGTGGGGACACATGGCATGGCAAACTTGCAGGAGGCAGCTCTCTCCTTCCACCCCATCGAGTCTCGGGGATCACACTCAGGTCATCAGGCTCGGCAGCAGGTACCGTTAGCTGTTGAGCCATCTTACCAGTCCACTGTGGTCGTCACTAATTCATTCCTATGGCTCTTTTACCACCATGCCCCTCTACCTGCCCTGTAAGAATCTCAGATCTGAATGGGACCACGTTCAAAGGCAGGGCAGGCCACCCCAGTATGCTGAGTTCCAAAAAGATCCTGAAATGCCAGCCCACACCAGACACTGGAGCCACCTCAGTGGACAGTGTTGCCTCAGGATGCTTAAAACCAGACTGTGCTAGGTAAAGATACCCAAGGCCACGAGAACAGTAAGACAACTGTGCCTGGTAGTCCCACGCACCTGAGCGGCCTGCTATATCCTGCCCCCTTTCTGTTCAGACATCTGCTTTCAAACCTATCTCTGGAGACTGGACAGATGACTCAGCCATTAGAAGCACTGGCTGCTCTTTCAGTGAACCTACGTTCAGTTCTCAGAATCCACATGCTAGCTCACAATCATTTGTAACCCAAGTTCCAGGGGATCCCATGCCCTTTCGTCCTTCTGTGAGCATCAAACATACAAGTAGTACACATGACATACTAGGAGGAAAACACTAACACACATAAAATTTTGAAAAAAAAATTAATTAGAATTTACACTTTGGTACTGGGGAGGTAGCTCAGTCCGTAATGTGCTTGTTTTGCACGCATGAAAACCTGAGTTCGCTCCTCTGAATGTAAAAGCTGGGCATGATGGTGCATGCCTACAATGTCAGCACTGTGGAGGCAGAGACAGGAGGTTCCAGCCAATGTAGCCAACTCAGTGAGCTCCAGTGAAAGGCCCTGCCTCAAACAAACAAACAAACAAACAAACAAACAAACAAACAACAACAAACCCAAAACAAAACAAAACAAAACAATAACCAGGGTGAACAGCAATTGAAGATCCCTAGCATTGGCTTCTGGCCTCCATATACATTCATATACACCTGCAGACACATAAACATAGACACACTTCACACAGTAAGAAAGTAAACAGAAACAAGCAGTCAGAAACAAAACAAGAAGAATCCCATAGATTAGCAGCATCCCTGCCCATGCCAATAAGGGCTGGGACTCCTGACCCCTGTGAGTCCCCTCTGTTGTTGACTATATGTTCACTGTCTCAAATTAGATTCAGAAGCACTACATCACAGATTGAAGCCACAAAACTAGGCCTGAGAGAACCACAGAGGCCTCCAGGAGCCTTTGGTGTTGGAAGATGCCTGAAGGGTAAAGATCACACGCATGCCTTTGTGCTATCCTGGACAGCTCTCAGGAACACCGAGAACACTCGGAGATTTCCCACCCACCTCAAGCCTACAGCTGTAGATTCAAGCTAAGCCAGACACCCACTAACTCCTGTCTGGTCACCACCTTGGGCAGCAACTTCAGACTTCCTCAGGTCAGACTATTGTAAGGCCCCAAGAAAAGCAAAAATCTGGGGCTGGGAAGGCAATTCAGTTAGTCAAAGTGCATGGCCACACAAGCATGAGGAACTCAGTTCAATGCTCCAACAGCCATGGGAAGGGGGGAGGGGGAGTGTCTCTCTGTAAATCTAGCCCTGGCAGTGCCGACCAGGTGATCAGAATTGATAAGCCTGGGGTACCAGACAGACACTGCCTCAAATACTACGGTGGGAAGTGACTAAAGGAGCGCCCTGATGCCGACTTGTCATCTACGCGCATACCCGCAGGCACAGAAGCACACACACAGCTATGTACATACACTGCACACACACAGCTGCGTACATACACTGCACACACAGCTGCGTACATACACTGCACACACACAGCTATGTACATACACTGCACACACACAGCTGCGTACATACACTGCACACACAGCTGTGTACATACACTGCACACACAGCTGTGTACATACACTGCACACACACAGCTGCGTACATACACTGCACACACACAGCTGCGTACATACACTGCACACACACAGCTGTGTACATACACTGCACACACAGCTGTGTACATACACTGCACACACACAGCTGCGTACATACACTGCACACACAGCTGTGTACATACACTGCACACATACAGCTACGTACATACACTGTACACACAGCTGTGTACATACACTGCACACACACAGCTGCGTACATACACTGCACACACAGCTGTGTACATACACTGCACACACACAGCTGCGTACATACACTGTACACACAGCTGTGTACATACACTGCACACACACAGCTGCGTACATACACTGCACACACAGCTGTGTACATGCACTGCACACACACAGCTGTGTACATACACTGCACACACACAGCTGCGTACATACACTGCACACACAGCTGTGTACATACACTGCACACACACAGCTGTGTACATGCACTACACACACACAGCTGCGTACATACACTGCACACACAGCTGCGTACATACACTGCACACACAGCTGCGTACATACACTGCACACACAGCTGTGTACATACACTGCACACACACAGCTGCGTACATACACTGCACACACAGCTGCGTACATACACTGCACACACAGCTGTGTACATACACTGCACACACACAGCTGCATACATACACTGCACACACACAGCTGCGTACATACACTGCACACACAGCTGCGTACATACACTGCACACACAGCTGTGTACATGCACTGCACACACACAGCTGTGTACATACACTGCACACACACAGCTGCGTACATACACTGCACACACAGCTGTGTACATACACTGCACACACACAGCTGTGTACATACACTGCACACACACAGCTGCGTACATACACTGTACACACAGCTGTGTACATACACTGCACACACACAGCTGTGTACATACACTGCACACACAGCTGCGTACATACACTGCACACACAGCTGTGTACATGCACTGCACACACACAGCTGTGTGCATACACTGCACACACACAGCTGCGTACATACACTGCACACACAGCTGTGTACATACACTGCACACACACAGCTGTGTACATGCACTACACACACAGCTGTGTACATACACTACATACAAAGCTGTGTACATACACTGCACACTACAAGGAAGAGGAGGCAGCCCATTGTGACTACTTCTCTTCCCAGGCAGCACCCACATCTTCTTTACTGAAGGGTATTCAACAGAGGGATGATGAAGAGTCCCCACTTTCTTCCACCTGGATCCCCAGACACACAGTAGTCACTCCAGACCTTACTGAAGACATGGCCTGGAGAGCTGTAGTTAATGACATGGACATCGTTTTTTTGTTTGTTTGTTTGTTTGTTTTTTAAAATCAGTGTCAGGGCTCAACTGTCACACTCCACAACAGGCCAACCACGGAATGAGGGAAGCAGTAGAGAGTCTCTGCCTCCAGAGGACAGTAGGTAAAATCAAATCTGTGCACTAGCCCATGATGGTTACTGTTGCACACTTGCCAGGATCTGGAATCACAGACACCTCTTGGATGTCTGTGAGGGGTTTCTAGATTAGGTCAATCAAGATGGGAAGATCCTCTCTGAATATGAGTGACACCATCCCCCGAGCTAGGGTCCTAAGACTGAATAAAAAGGGGCAAGTGAGCTCAGCACCAGCATCCCTCTCTCTGCTTCCTGACTGTGGATACACAGGGACCAGCTATCTCGAGCAATGGCAGTGTGTTTTCCCATCACTTGCAATGAAGACTCTCTCTGTCTCTCTCTCTCTGCAATAAAGGCAGCACATGCATTCTCTTAGTACAAGCAGCTGGACGTCTTGTCTTTCTTTTCCTGATACCTTGGACTTGCTTGTGGTATGGGCGCCACAGTTAAGAGCACTGACTGTTCTTCCAGAGGTTCTCAGTTCAATTCCTAGCAACCTCATAGTGGCTCACAACCATCTGTAATGAGATCTGGTACCCTCTTCTGGCCTGCAGTCTTACATACAGACAGAACATTGTATACATAATAAATAAATAAATCTTTTTTAAGGCCTCTAACATAGCAGGGCGGTGGTGGTGCACAATTAATGCCAGCAGAGACAGGAGGATCTCTGTGAGTTCGAGGCCAGCCTGGTCTACAGAGAGAGTTCCAGGACAGCTAGGGTGACACAGAGAAACCCTGTTTCAAAAAACAAACAAACGAACAAACAAAAATCCTGTAAGGTTAGCAGTCCATGGGAAGACAGGGCAGAAGTCAAGAAAAGTCTGATGTTCCAGATGCCCTGACCCAGGATTCAGAACAAAAGTCCTGAAAACCAGTCTGACCTGGAGTAGGTCAGGTCATAGTCTTACAACTTGGGCCCTGGGGCCTCCCCACCTCCTCGGATACCCCCATCCCTCCAGCCAATCAGTCCCTAGAAAGCCTTTCTCCTCACTTCCCCTTGACCTCCCGTCCTAGATCAGAATGGACAGTGTAGGGAAAATGGACCAGTCAAACACACCCTGAGCAGAGCCAATGAAACACACTTTGGCCCTGCAACCAGAACTAAAGAAATGCACCCTGACCCTGAAACCAGTGCCAAAGGAACACACTTTGTCCCTGGAATCAGAGTCAGTGAAAGAAATGCACCCTGGCCCTAAAATTGGAGCCAAAAGGCTAAAAAGGACCAGAGAAAGAAACACACTAATCAGAGCCAAATCTGACCCTAATCTGTGCAGAAAACTAACCAATCCCTGAGCAGAGCTCTAGCCAGTCTGAGCTCAGCACTAAAATCTGACCAATCCCTACCCTGGAAGCCCTATATAAACCCTGTGTCTGTTCAGCTTACGTCTGTTCCTGCTACCCGGCAGAGGGCAGCCACTCTCCTGGATTCTTCCCTCCCAATAAACCTCTTGGGCGAGCTTTGGGTGAAGATCTTTTGCCGAGGTGACCTAGCAGAGGCGACCCTGGGCAGAGCAGAGTGAGCAGAGCTGTAACATTTGCCTGGGAAACCTTCCCTTGGCAGAGTTACACTCCGCTCCCCGCTCTGTGGGAGCAGAGCTAAACTATAGCTTCGCCCGAAAGAAACCTCCTGCTGAGCAAAACTGCTACTACTCTGGGCGAACATCCCAAGCTGGAAGACCCTGTCCTGCCGGAGCAGAGCTGATACACTGGTGAAGCCTTTCCCTGAGGCCGGGCTGTAAAGCTGCTAAGTTTACTGCAACCTGTGGTGGTCCTTGGCTCCCGAGCTCCTGGATACCTTTCCACCTGAGCTGTGTAACACTCAGTATCCTGTGGCTCCTGAGTGCCAGAATATCCATCCCATCCCCATACGACCGAAATGCCAACATTTGGTGCTGTGACTCGAAACGCTTACAGAGTCAAGTTCATGGCTCTACCATGCAAAATCCCTGGGTCACTCCAACCCCTCTTTCCACTAAGGTCCTGAGCCTTAGGGCACAGTGCTGCAGACACCGAATGAGGTGGGGCCCTGTCCATAAGAAGGGAGTGTGCAAAGACACGCGCTAAAGTTTGAAAAGTTAGGAACTCCAGAAAAGTTCAACAGGGAGCATGTTTGTGTGTGTTCGTGCACATACATGCACACTTGTATCTGATTACCTTCACTCCTGTTCAGTGGCCCTCACTGACTTCAAAGCCCTTCAGAACTTTTTGTTCAGGATGTCTGTCCTATTCACTACAATCCTCACCATCTGCGGAGTTTCCGGAGCCCCTACTCTCCAGAGTTGCTCCTGGATGCCATCCAAGATCCCCAGATCAGTCTCCTCAACCAGACCAGCTAGCCGCCCCGCCCCCAAGGCCAGCCAGTAGCTACTGAGCCAAAACCAAGTGCCAATGCCACCCACCGAGGTTGAGCAGGTGAGCTAATTCTCATTGGTATCCACACCTCCTCTTTCCCTCCTTGTGTCCTCAGGAGGCACCCTACATTCCAACAACCTGAGGGATGGGTTCCCCCACCCACATGGGGGCAAGAGATTTAGCTGATAGTAACCTAGTCAGCCTCCATTTGCAGACGAGGTAGGCTGAACCGCGGCCCCTAAATGTCACAAAGCCGGCTTTAAGGTGCGAACACAGGGTGCTTCCTTCCTATCCATCTCTCTAGGGGGGTTACCTAGGATCCATCTCATGTCTGGGCAGGAGTGGTGACAGCCCTTTGGAAGGTGTCTCTCCAAGGGATGGGGGCCCCCCCGCCCAGCTCCCGCCCCTGAGCTGGAGGAGGCGGTGCTACACCTTCCAAAGGTGCAGCGCACGTCGTCTCCGGCCCGCCCCCTCCTACGCTGGAGTCTATGCCCCCTCTGGGGCGTCAAGTCATCCGTGACGTGACTCGCAGGCCCAGGCCAGTATGGAAGGACCTAGGGGCTTGGAAGATCCAGCTCATGCAACTGCAGCTCCAACGCCTCCAAAGACAGCCCCGGAACCCCGCGATCGCCCCACGACCACCCGAGGCCTCCAGCACCCGGGCATCCAGGACGGCCAGGCTCGCCGCCGCCACCGCCCCCAGCGCGCGCGTCCCGCCCGCGCGCACCTGCCGCATCCGCGCGCCCCACTCACCGCGCGCGCCCGGAGCCCGGCCAAGCCAGAGCGAGACACGGACTCGGGGGCGGGGGCTGTGACCACCGGGGACCCCCCCGCACTACACAAAGTGACGGCCGCGAGCAGTGCGACGGCGGTGGAGGCGGCGGCGCGTGGGCACCGGAAGTGCCGCCCGCCGGCCCCGCCTTGTCCGCGCCCACGGGGGGGCACTTCCGGTCATGGGCGTCTTGGAGCTGTGGGTGCAGGCGGGGGGGTCTGCCGCGTCTCACACCCGTGTGCGTGGAGGATGCGTCTAGTTACCCATGATGAGCATCTCTGGACTACTACCTGCTCCTCTCCGCTGCAAGAGACCCCTGCCCACCTTTGGAGATGCCCAGGACGTCAAGCCCCAGTGAGCATCCCTTCCTTCCAGACCATGGCCTAGGTCTACCGCGGTGTGTGTCAGGACGTGTACGGAGTCTGCCCATGTCCACAGGACTTTCCCTGGATCTCACGATGGTGGAGGAGAGTGGTGACTCCTTGTGGATATCCAAGCAGCAGCGCGTGTCTGACCCTGACATGGGCTAGGGTGTGGTCAGGAGGTTGATCCCTCTTCGACGATCCACAGTTTCACCACACTACCTTCTGACGTAACTTGTGCGTGCATGGTCAGTGCTGGCACGGGTGTGGCAAACAGAGGGTCAGCCTATTCAAGGCATTTGGGGGGGGGTGGTCCTGTGGCTATAGCAGTCAAATGCACAAAATGTTGCAAGACTCCTGCTCTTCAACCCCCTGACCTGTCATCCCAGGCCAGATAGGGACACTGGTAGTGGTCTTGCAGTAGCCTTAGACAAGTTGAACCTTGACAGTCCCATGATATATTCATGGCTATTCTGGCCAGTGTTCTGCTGCCTTACACGGAGGACCATTTATATTCTCAAGTCCCTGGCCCATGAGCCTGCTGGCCACCTAAGTCTGGAGCTGAGTGCCCCAGGTACCAGGTTCTAGCCTCTGCCCTCCACCTCCCCTGGTTTTTCTTTTTCTTTTTTTTTTCTTTCTTTTTTTTTTTGTCTGTTTTTTGTTTTTCCAGACAGCGTTTCTCTGTGGCTTTGGAGGCTGTCCTGGAACTAGGTCTTGTAGACCGTGCTGGTCTGAAACTCACAGAGATCCGCCTGCCTCTGCCTCCCGAGTGCTGGGATTAAAGGTGTGCACCAGCACCGCCCGGCCCACCATCCCCTCTTACATTGAGAACTTTATGAAACTCTTGTGCTTTTCTTGATTGACCATGTAGCCTGGACCTGGCTGACTTTCTGGCTGCCTCTCTACCTGTGGGTTCTTTAGGAACCAAAACATCACCCCCTTGCCCACACACACATGCAGTCACACATGGACGGAGGGTCCTCGTCTCTCATTTTCACTAGGATGTGTGTTCCCATGTGTGCACGTGAGTTATCTCCATGATGCCATTCTTACTCACCCTGGTGTGTGTGTGTGTGTGTGTGTGTGTGTGTGTGTGTGTGTTTTAACAAGGACAGATTATCTAGCAAAGCACCTTCCTCCTTGCAGGATAGCTGACAAGCTAGAAATCCAAGGGAGGGAAGAGGAGCCAGTCTCACTCTATGGGACACCAAAAGCAGGTGATGCGTGTATATTCCTGCCGTGTGTCATGCTTTACTCACTCCTCATGTTCTCAGGCTCTGTTGTCAAGTGGGCAGAGGGCAAAGGGGAAACATCTTCAGATGGGGCCCATATATTGTAAGAACCATGCAGTCAGGCATGGCAGTGCAAGCCTGAAATCCCAGATATTCTGGAGGATCTTGAGTTCGAAGCTACAAATGGGAGTTTAAGGCCAACCTGAGCAACTAGTAAGACCCAGCTCCAAAAACATTAAAAGCTGGAAGGTGACCGACAGCCTCCAAAACAATACAGAGAAACCCTGTCTCGTAAAACAAACAAACAAAAAAGCTGGAAGGTAGCTTATCAGTACTGGACCTGCCTAGGACTCCCCAGTGAGGGGCTGGGGTGTGGCTCAGTGGTAGAGCACCTGCCTAGAAACCACTAGTGAGGATGTGGGGGTCTGAACCAGTGATAAAGTGTTTTCCCAGCTTGCTCAAGGCTCAGATTCCATCCCTAGCTCCTTCAAAAGCAAAACAAAACAGATAAGATGTTAGTGTTCCCTACAATGGATGGTTGGAATTGGAATGGAAATTGAGGTCACTTTTTTTTGGAGGGAATGGGAGTAAAGAGAATAGGTGTACTTAGCTCACAGTTTTGGAGACTGTTAAGGCTCTAGCGAAGGGTCCTGGCTACATCACACTGTCAGGGGAGTGTGTGTGTGTGTGTGTGTGTGTATGTATGTGTGTGTGTGTGTGTGTGTGTGTGTGTGATGGTTAATCTTGGTGGTTGTCAAGTTGAGGCACTTGGGAAAAGAGCTCTCAGTTGAGAACTTGCCACCATCAGATTGGCCTGTGGGCATGTCTCTGCATTTTCTTTATTGCCAATGGATGGGGGGTGTAGGGTAAAGCCTTTTCCTTGCCAGCCGCTTTGGTTTTTCCCCACCAGTCGCCAGGACTCTGCCACGTTATAGTCCCTAAATAACACACAAGACACTGTATTAATTATGAAGCTGTTGGCCGTTTGTTTGCTTGATTTCTTACTAGCTATCTCTGACTTAAGTACTTAACCCATAATTATTAATCTAAGTATTTCTCTTACCGGAGAAAGGGGTCCGGGTTTCTTACCCCTAAGGCAGCTACATGATGACTCCCTGTGTTTCTCCTCCCCAGAGTCCTCCTGGATTCCTAGTCCCACCTATCTTGCTTCCCCATTGGCCAACAGTGCTTTATTGGCATATACACAGGACTTCCCCATCAGGGGGGTCAGCCCACTGTGGGTGGCGCCACCCATACTAGGCAGATGGGCCTGAACTGTGTAGGAAAGGTAACTGAGTAAGCCTGTAAGTGTTATTCCTCCACGGCTCCTTCTTCAGTTCCTGCCTTGAGCAGCTTCCCTTGGTGATGGACCAAAATAAACCCTCTCCTTCTAAGATCCTAGGTAAGAGCAATTTACCACAGGAACAGAAAAGGTAGGTGGGTCAGATAGCCCAGGCTAGCCTTGACCTGGAGATCCTCCTGCTCCCAGTGCTGGGACTCCAGGTGTGCTTCCATCTGCCTGTCCGATGCCACTTTTGACATGAGCTGGAATACTGGAATATACATATTCCCAAGGCCTACCAGTCACCTGCCTCCCTGCAGGGTACCTGACAGGCTAGAACCCAAGGAAGGGGAGATGAACCAGTCTCAACGGGAAACAAAAGCAAGTGATGAGTTTCTGAGGAAGAAGAAAGGAGATTAAGCCTGCCCATATCATGGACTGGCCCAACTGCCACCAGATACATACTGAGCTAGAGGAGAGAGGCGATTGGCAGCCTGCCTGGGGACGAGGCCTGCCTAGGCCTGTGTAAGAGAATAGAAGCAAGACACACAGATGTGGGGCCGGGGAGGTGGCTCAGCTGGTAAAGGACTTGCCATGCAAGCCCGAGGACCCGAGTTTCATCCTGAACACCCACATAAAAAGCCGGGCATGGTGGTGCACGCTTGTACTCTTCCTGCCAGAGAAGCCGAAATAGGAGGATCCCCAGGGCACACTGGCCAGCCAGCCTAGCCTGAGCAGTGATACCCAGGTCCCAGTGAGAGACCCTGCCTCAAAAAATACAGTGGCGCTGGAGAGATGGCTTGGTGATTAAGGGTTGTACTGCTCATCCAGAAGACCTGAGTTCATTCCCAGTACTCACATCAGGTAGCTTATAACCTCCTATATATAATTCCAGCTCCTGGGGAACCCACACTGCTAGCCTCTATGGGCACCACACACACACACACACACACACACACACACACACACACACTAAAATCTTTCAAATTTTAAAATTAAAGTGATGGCTCCTGAGGAAAGACACCCAAGGTTTCCCTCTGACCTTCACAGGAGCATGCACACATGCACACACATGAATACACATGCACACACAGAAAATAAACTATAGTGGGGGGAGATACCTCCACTGGAAAACAGCTGTCACTCCATCCTGGGTTTAAGCTCCTGCATACTGTCACCAACAGACATGAGGTGTTGGGGAGGACTGTCACAAAACGGTGAAGGGCACACAGCTCACCCTTTCAGGGAACCAAGTGAATCCAAAAACTGTGACTATGAGCCCCTCCCCCCAGCCCCCATGCAAAGAGCTGACAGAAGAGTCAGATGGGTCCCTATGCCTCCCCCGCACAGGTGGTGCTCACTCTAGCCTGACAGGGGCCAGAGATGGGACACAGTAGACCCTGGGTGAGAGCCTGAAGTGAAAACATGGGGATGATTCAGGGAGCCCCAACAGGCTGGACAGCAGAGAAGTCATAGTTTGCCAGGATGGTAGGGTGTGATGTGGAAGTCCTGGGGAAGCAGCAAGAAGACATCTAAAAGCTGTTGAGGCGCTGCAGGGGCCAAGTGGACAAATCCCTGCCATGCAAGCGTGAGGACCTGAGTTCAGATCCTCAGCACCCACAGAAAAGTCAGGTGTGGTGGCACGTGCATATAATTCCAGCATGGGGAAAAGGAAGACAAGGGGGTCCCTGGGGCTTTCTGGCAGCCAGCCTAGACAAACCAGCAAACTCTAGATTGTCTCATAATAAATAAACTGATAATAATGAGAGGGAGAGGAGGAAGAGAACTATGGAGGAAGACAGGAGGATCTCTGGAACTGAGTGGCTAGCCAGTCCAGCTGAATAAGAGCTCTAAGTTCTGTGAGAGACCCTGCCTCAAAAACTAAGGGGGAGCGTGAGCTTGGAAACAACATCAGCCTCTGGCCTCCACGTGGGCATTCACACACATGCATGGATGTACTGTGTATGTGCAGATACACACAAAGCTGTTGAGACGACCTTGATGAACAAAGTGACAAGCTGTGAAGATGTAAACTGTGCAGCATGAACCACACACACACACACACACACACACACACACACACACACACACACACACACGCTTAGGACCCCCAGTGTCCCAGGTCTACTTTGACACCATCATGTGAAGCAGGGCCTCCATCTTCCCTTCAGATGGAACCCCGCTTCTTGCCCCAGCCCTCCCTAGGATGTCCACATCTGCCCCCCTGCTGCCCTGTAAGGCATGCTGGGAGTGATTAAGGAAGTAGAAAGCAGGCCGGGCAGCTCTTTCCTTGCTGGGTATCAATGAAGGTGACCAGAGGGCCGGCCAGAGAGGACTGGACCAATCCCAGGCCCCTGCAAAGAAGCAGAAAGGGGCAGGCAGAGGTGGAGTATCTTGCCTGAAGACAGAGGAGTGCCCAAGGGGTCCCTCTGAGAGATTCCTCTCAGCTCTGTCTCGACCTCTGTATGCTGTGCCATCTCTGCACAATCCAGTTGTAGCAAAAACCTTGTCCAGTCAGTTTACCCAGAAGCCACACCTTCAGTATCTGATGAAGCTCTCCACCACCCCAAAGGGATTGTTAGCTCATCACCCTGACCTGCACCAACATTGGTCTGCTTAGCCAGAATCCCCCATTAGAATTTTTTCCATGATTGACACCTGCCCCACCCCCAGCTCCTTAACAGCATACTCCATGTTGTGTTCCTAATTAAACCAGTTCTATCCTCAGATCTCTGCCCCCTGAATTAAATGTGATTTTAGCACTTTAACTTCTATGTTTTGGGGGGTGTGTGTGTGTATGTTTGCACACGTGTGTAATGGACACACGGCATGTGTTCATGCTCAGAGGCCACAAGAGGATGTTGACTGTTCTACTCTGTCACTCTGGCTAATTTCCTTGAGACAGGAGCTTTCACTGAATCTGGAGCTAGGAGGGTCACTATCAAGCCCCAGCAATCCTCCTGTCTCCACTCCTTATTGCTCTGGGGTTACAGACACATGCACACCATACTCAACTTTTGATGTGGGTTCTAGTGATCCACACTGAGCCCCTAATGCTTGTGTAGCAAGAGTTTTTACCAACTGAACCATTTCCCCGGCCCTAATGTCTGTGTGTGTGTGTGTGTGTGTGAGTGTGAGTGTGTGTGTGTAAGGGGGAGGGAAGAAGGGATGGAGAGAGAGAGAGAGAGAGAGAGAGAGAGAGAGAGAGAGAGAGAGAGAGAAACCCACTGTAGTTAAGGCTAGCATAACTGCCTCCACCTCCCTAGTGCTGGGATCCCAGGCATGTCCCACTGTGCTCAGTTTATGAGGTGTTGGGGACAAACCCAGGGCGTCTTACATGCTAGATAAGTCCTCCACCAACTGAGCTACACCCTGGCCACAAGCTCTGTAATGTCGTTTTCTAATTGGCATTACAGTGGCTGGAGAGATGGCTCAGTAGTTAGAAGCACTTGCTGCTTATGCAGAGGTCTCAGATGTGGTTCCCAGCACCCACATAGCCGCTCAAACCATTTGTAGCTCCGGTTCCTGGGGATCCAATGCTTTCTTATGACTTCCATAGGCACCATGCATGCTCCCGGTGGACAAACATGCATGCAGACAACACACTCTTACTCAAAAAATAAATAGATCTAAAAAGCAGGTCAAACAAACCGGCACTACAGTTAACTGTCCAACCTGGGGACATGGATGAGCACTCCCCTGTGCCGGGGTTCTTCCTTCCCTGGAAACTGAGCTGGTGTGGACATTTGTTACCAGCTGTCTGGGGTGCAGAAACCGGCCAAGCTGCCTGAAGAGGTTTAGACCGACTCACTTGGAGAGGACACTCTCCACTGTTGAAATGCCTGCAGCCTGTGCAGTGTGCGCCCCTGCAGCTGTCTTTGAGTCATTTCTGCTCCTGTAAGTAACCCCTCACCCATATTCCTGTAACTCCAACAAAACTCATTGGTCCACCAGGTTGTATGCTATGTGTTGTGTCGCCCCAGGAAAAGGTTTGTCACACAACATAACTGGTGCCTGGACAGGGACCCAACTAGAGATGAGCTGGTTGAAGAGTGAGTTCACGGTCCTGGCTATGGGTGGCAAGACATGCAACTGGGGCAGTTGCTAAGCAGCCTGAGGGGGCAGCATTTGCAGAGGAAATTCCAAGAGAGGTGCCCTTTCCTGTATGGTGTGTATTAGCGTGCCTTTGCTCATGACAGCGGTTGCACGGTTCTTGCTACGAGTCGTGAGACATGCAACTAAGGCTGAGTCATCAGGATTAGGGCTGTCTATGGGAGAAATCTCAGGATGGCACTCTTAGACTGTGTGGTATGGGGTGGCATGCCTGCTTGATGATTGCGGTCCACCATGTGAATATGGAGGTTCCCTGAACAGTTACAAGTTTAGATGAAAGTTTGCAGTCTCTGAGATTAGTGCACAAGATCTGAGATTGTGGGCGGCAGCAGCAGCAGAGGTGGCCTGACCATTGTTGTGTAGCTAGAAATACATCTGAAGTGGCTGCCAAGCAGGACGTATTTGTGTAAAGGAGTGACTCCAACAAGAGAGGGAGATGTGGCAGCACCCTGTTAGCCTCTGATCGGGCAAGTAAATTACATAAATGAGAAGGTGTGGAGGTGTAGATGTGAAACTAACCACCCCAAGGACACTGTCTTTTTTTAAGAGGGAGAAGTCACTTACACGAGAAACCGAGAACTGAGCTCAGCACTCTGATCTCTGAACCTCGACCGGAATCTGAGAGAGAGAGAGAGAGAGAGAGAGAGAGAGAGAGAGAGAGAGAGAGAGAGAGAGAGAGAGAGAGAGAGAGAGAGAGAGAGAGCTCCCCTTTCTTCCTTCCCTTTATCCCTGGCTTCTCCCACATACCTGCAGGTACGTGAGATCTCCCCTACAGAGGTGTGGTCTTGAAACCTTCTTAAGGCTTGGGGCTAGAGGGAAAAGATAATACACCGTGCTTAGAAGTTCTTCCTGGGATTCAAGAACTTGGAACCCAGGGAAGATCCAGAGAGTAATGAGGAGGAGGAGGAGGGGAATATCACAAAAGCAATAGAAGATGCCCTCAGGTCTGAGCTTTAGTAGAAAGAAGAGGGGAATCTATAATCCATTGTGCAGATGGGGGCATTAACAATGGTCCAGGGTGGTAATGGGGAAATATTCAGCACGTAAGCTGCTAGAACCGGGGAAGACTTTTCAACAAGCTTCTGCCGCCACCTGGCTTCTGCCACTGTGGGACATGGGGGTGAACAGGATCAGTCTGACTTAGTGGAGGCAGGAAAACTGAGTCATGTGACTACCTGTCCCTCCTTAAGGAAAAGGCTGCATAGCCTGAGACAGTATGAGGGAAGTCGGTCCTCCAGGGACTGACTTCTCAGAGCCATTCAGAACACTTGGTTATCTCCATCTGAGGTCCCCATAAATATCAGGTTGGAGGACCAGAGAGGAGGGGCAGATGCTATCGAGGGAACTAGGAATAGGAGAGGCTGTATTTAAGCCCCAGTTCACTGGAAGTGTGTTGACAGAGGAGATAAAGAAAAGGCTGACTCAGCAGCCCCCCCCAGACTGGTGTGGAGCTTTGGTGGCTTTGCTGAGTCTGCTGAGGTGGGGCACAATCTTTATAAAGAAGGAAAGGCTTTGGCAGATCTCAGAGACTCAGACCAGCATGTGATGGATGAGAGCTCATAAAGCGAGAGAACATCCTAGAGGAGCCAGTAAAATTGTAAAGTGAAAGAAGACGACAAATGTGGCAAGATGTGTGTCGAGCTGGAGCTCCTGAGGAGAAAACTGACAGGAAGCCAAACTGTATGCCAAGAAGCTTCTGGAAGGGGTAAAGCCTGAAGAGCAGTTCACAGAAGACATCCCTGATAAGTACAAGTGAAGACAGTCAATCCTATGCCAGAGGTGGGTAACATCTGGCCAGACTCAGGAGGGTATGGGTATGTTTCCCAGTCAGGAACTCCCCCAAGCACCAGGTGTGGTGAATGGAGAGGTTGTAGCCTCTCTGACCGATTGAGCCATCAGGTACAGCAGGAGAAAGCAGGGTCACATTCACCTTTGGCCATGAGTAGGTCTGGGTAGATTGAGTCCCACTGAGGTTATCGGGTGGAGAAATGTAGGGAGGCTCCGTGGAAGACCTGCAGGATATGGTAAGGTACTGGATCAGAGAGAGTAACTAAAGATTTCAGGGAGCTCTTATGCATGCATTGTACCCAACCTTGATCTGTGGAGGGAGCAACTGATTTAAATAGATGGCACATGCATGCTGTATTAGACCTTGCTCATGTTTGACTTAAGTACCTCCCTGGTTGTTAACCTCTGGGATCACCTGACACTTACTGAGAAGAGATGACAGTAAACTTTCAGAATGTCTCACCAAGGTTATCTTTGTTATGGGATGGTGGTTCGGGATGTGGCCTTGTCCTGCATCCTCTAGAAAAGGTTTTGTTCTATAGATGGCATAATGCTAACCTCCGAGTGTCTCGCAGATTTGGCAAACCACCGAGAGACAACCAGATGCAATGGTATTTCTGCTGAACTTCCAACCCTACTGGGGCTGGGTTAATTAAAAGGAAAGATATCCAAAATATATACTATATGGGTGGAAATGGACACTCCCAGAGGCTTTAATGTTATTGAATGACAACCCTACAGGTGGACTGCCTTCCTGTGAGTTGTTGGCCAGGGAAGCCTCCGAGGCCCCACAAGCCATAAAGGCTGTGGCTGCTGTTGTTGGTAAGAGCCTATTGCTGAAGACACTGTATGTGCATGCTCTGATTTCAGGACATGGAGAAATAAAGCTAGGTTAAACTGGAAACTCTCACCCTGCCAATTGATTTTCATAATACCAGAATGGGCCATGCAGGCTACTAGCGGAGAACTGTCCCCAGCATTCCTGCTTGGCTATAGGTCCTACATGCTAAAACACTAACATGCCAGGCAGGATGTGCTGGCTTGTGCAATAATGGCTGGGCTGTGGTGGGTAAAACCAATAGTCTTCTAGTTGAATTTAAGGTCTGAGCTCCACAGGAGGGATTTCACATCTAGTACTGTAAGCTAGGACAAAAACCTGTAGCTGGGGGAATCATAGACCTCATTGAGGAAGCAACTTCTATGGTTTTCCTAGATGGGTGTGATGTCCCTGTCAAACTGCCTTCTAAATGTGAATTTATCCCACAGATCACTGTTGTCATCAGCCTAAACTCAACTACTAGTGACACTCCCGAGAACACATGACTGTTATTGTGGCATGGTGCCTACTTCTTAGTCATAGGAAGACATCTATAGTTGCACTCTTCAAGGCTCAGAAGAGGAACACAGGAGGAATGAAGGTGCTGTGTAACAGTTTCCTCTGAGATTAAAACATTCCATCCTGCAGGAAGCTCCTCGAGCAGGAAGTAAACGCCTCACAACAGCTCCAGGAAGTCCCTGAAACTGACCAGATTCACTAGGCCCCTCCCTGCCAGAATAAGCAATAAAAGCTGAGCATTCCCTCTGTGACTAGCAGAGTGGACCAGTGAAGAAGATTCCGAGACAAGAGCAGCTGCCTGGAAAATGTAGAAACCAGCTGTGCTGCCTTTTTCACTTGGAAAGGACACTCTCCACCACATTAAGCCTGAAGGCTGTGCAGTGTGCTCCAGGCTCCCAGCCCTGTGAGCTGTCACTCATGCTGGGGTTAGCTTTGATGATGCAACTGCCTTTGAGTCATTTCTTTTTCCTCTAAGTAACCCCTCACCAATATTCCTGCAAGTAACCCCAATAAAATTCATCGGTTCACCTGGTTGGACTTTGGTGGGATCCATACTTTGGTCTGTCATGAGATCTCCATCTGGGATGTGTTGTGTCTCCCAGGAAAAGTTCTATCACACAACAATGCTACTCAGGCAGGGTGTGTGAGTGGTTTCTGAAGGAAACCACTGTCCGCAGCTGGGAGACTTCAGCAGACTGGAGTTATCCCCAGACTCATAGGATCTCAAATGTCCTCAAATGACTGGCACCACCCTGTGCTGGCTGTGTCCTCTCTCTCCCCACTGGTGAGTGGTGGGAAACCTGACACAAAGGACAAGCTTCTAGAAAATTTCTGGGTTGGCAGATGGTCAGGGCACTGTCGGAGGTCACTACAGTGGGCAGAGCAGGAGTTAAGCAGGTGGCAGCAATGGTGAGCTGTTTCTCCATAACCCAGACTGGCCTTGAATTCACCACCCTCATGACTCCAGTTTCAAATAGCATGCATGAGATGCTGTGCTGCCAAGCTAGGCCAGCTGTTACATTAGTGTATCTGGGGGACATCTGTGTTCCCTTTCCTGTACATACTATTTAGAGACATATATGAGAGACATGGAGTTGCATTAGATTTCATCCATATTATTTTGATGAAACTTCTTTATAACGATTCCTTTGTATGGGCTGGAGAGATGGCTCAGAAGTTAAAAACCCTTTGCTGCTTTTCCAGACTGGAGTTTGGTACCCAGCACCCACATGGGGCTGCTCACAACCATCTGTAGCTCCAGCTCCAGGGGATCTGACACCCTCTTCTGGCCTCCGTGGGCACCTGCACACATGTGGCATGTACTTACACAGACATACCACACATGTATACATATATAAAAAATAAGTATAAAAGCATTCCCTTCTAGCAAGTTTGCAACAGCCTGTCAAGATTAAGGTCAGTGGTAACAGAATGGTCCAACTAAGTCACAGTACAGGCAGAGCCAGGTGTCAGTGTCCTCAGAGCACAAGCATCCTGAGATGGGTGTAAGGGCTGGCTAACCCTCCGATTTCTTAATCCATGTCCAATTTAAGCTCTACTCTGTTTATCTTCTAGCTGGCCACTGAGAAGTCTGCCAGCCATTTGCTTTAGAAGCAAGGGGCAATAATTGCTACTGGAGGCTGAGTGTGATGGTACATGCCTGTAATTTTAGCACTCAGGAGGCTGAGGCAGGTAGGTCAGGAATCCTGAGGCTACCTGGGCTACAGAGTAAGTTTCAGGCCAACCTGGGCAAAATCATGTCTCAAAATAAGTAAGAGGGTTGGGCGGCTGGTTCAATGGTTGGGTCCTTATTGCCCAGAACTCACAAGTGAGGGTGTAGGAGTGTGGCCCAGTGGCGGTCTCTGCCTGGAATTCCCTAGTAAGGGGTCGGCGTGTGGCTCAGTGGTGGAACTCCTGCCTGGAATCTTTCAGTGGGGCTTGGGAACATGACTTTACATCCCATCCCTCCTTAAACTGCTGCACCAAGAGAGCGAGGAGTGGCTGGTCTCCCATCTCTGGATGCCTTTTAAACAAAGAGCAAGGAGGTCTTGCATCCTCTACTTTCAGCAAGCCTTGGGATCTTGCTATAACAATACAGTACTTTGGAAACAGCATTGTACTTATTTTTACTGCTGCCTTCTGCTTCCCTCATGTGACACTGGTTCTCTAGTTACAGTATTTAAATTGTCTGTTTCTTTTTCATATAAAGCATCACTATGTAGCCCAGGCTAGCCTCCACCTTTGGATCCTCCTTAAGCATCCAAAGTACTGGGATTACAGGCATGAACTACCATGTCTAGCTGGCTTCCTTCCTCCTTTTCATTTTATGAGATAGGAGTTTACTATGTAGCCCAGGCTGGCCTTGAATTCCCCATCCTTCTGCATCTGCTTCCCAAATTCTGGGTTTACAAGTGTATGCCACGCTGGGAGGTGGTGGCACAGGCCTTTAATCCCAGCACTGGGGAGGCAGAGGCAGGAGGATCTCTGTGAGTTCGAGACCAAGCCTGGTCTATAAGAGCTAGTTCCAGGACAGCTTCCAAAGCCACAGAGAAACCCTGTCTCGAAAAACCAAAAAAAAAAAAAAAAAAAAAGTGTATGCCACTACACCTGGAAAAAAATTCCTTTAAAAAAAATTCTCTGGTCTCTGCCTTCAGCTTTCACTTTCTGCAATGAGTGTGTCTTGAGAAGATCTCTTCTGCTGCCAGCATCAAGGGCATATGAATGGGGGTAGCCTCAATTCACTCAAGTTAAAGAATCGCTCAATTCTAAAACTTGCGACTGAAACCAAAAATAGGGGCTGGCAGGCTCAGTGGGTAAAGCCTAATGACTTGTGTGTCATCTCTGGGTCCACTTGGCTGGTGGAAGCAGAGAACTGACCTCCACATATGGGTTATGGCACACACTAACCAGCGAACGAACCAACTAAGTAATCAAATTAGCTAACTAACTAAATAAATACTGTAGGTGGAGGGCGTAGGCACAGCCTTTGTTGATGCAAGGAACTGGAGGGGCCAAAGTCTAGCTCAGCTCACCCTCTCCCCACAGGCCCCGACTCCTATCGTGGGGTGTCACTGAAAGGAGCCCACTCTTCAGATTTGTTTGGAGGGAGCTACAAAGCTGGCTTACTGGTTAAGGTCACTTGCTGCTCCTCCAGAGGACTAGAGTTTATTTCCCAGCACCCATGTCAGGCAGCTCACAACCCTCTAGGACCCAGCCCAAGGATCCAACACTTCTAGTCTCTGTGGACCCCACCTGCATCCATCCATGTGTACATATCCATGTGTGAGTGCGCATGCACGCACACACGCGCACACACACAAAACTACAGAGACAAGTGGTTCCCGGGGGCCTACTGGCCAGTGAGTCTCGTCAGTGGGTGTGTACTCAAAGCTCAGGGAGAGACCCTGCCTCAAAAGATAAGGTGTTTGGGGATGGTAATGTGGCTCAGCAGACAAAGGTGCTTGTCACATAAGCGTGGCTTCCTGAGTTCAAGCCCCTGAATCCACACAAGGGGGAATGAGGGAATCAACTCCATAAAGTTGTCCTCTGTGCACGGTAGCACATGCATCCTTCTGCAAACACATGCACACGCGCGTGCACGTTTGTTCTAACCTCGGCGTGCGGGGGTGCATGCCTGTAATCTTAATACTCAAGAGGCTGAGGCAGGAGGATTGCTGCAAGGTCAAGGATGACTTGTGTTACACTAAAAGAGTAATCTCATAAAAAGAGAATCCTAGCACATGCCTTTAGTCCCAGCACTTGGGAGGCAGAGGCAGGTGGATGGATCTCTGTGAGTTCGAGGCCAGCCTGATCTACAAGAACTAGTTCCAGGAGAGCTAGGGCTACACAGAGAGACCCTGTCTCGAAAACCCAAAAAATAAAACAAATAAATAAATAAAAGGAGAATCCATAACTTGGGGTTGTGGATGTAGCTCAGTAAGTAGAGTGCTTGCCTAGTGTGACAGCACCTTGGGTCCAACCCCCAGCCCTGCACACACACTGAGCATAGTGGTGCACACCTGCAAGCCCAGTGCTTGGGAGGTGGAGGCAGGAGAATTAGAAGTTAGTTCTAGGCCATCCTCTGCTGTAGAGTAAATTTGAGTTTACACAGGACTGTTTCAAATGAACAAGAGAAGTTACAAGCAAGACATAAAATACAAAGTTCAAGTCACAAACAGGACACATGGTATTCTTCACTTTATTTTCCATGTTCTGTTTCTCACTTGTATAAAATTTGTCAGGCTGTACTAGTAAGGGAGAAGCAGGAGGGAGGGAAGAGAAAGGGCAGGGACTAAGCAGCCACAGTGGGCTGTCAGGTCAAGTGGGGCAGGGAGTGGCAGGGGCCAGAGAGGCCTCCTCCACCCGCCCACCTTCCCACATGATGCTCTGCTCACAGTCCTTGCCCTACATGATTTAGTAAACATGGTTGACAGCCTTTCTGATACCCCCGGTTCTTGTCCCCATCATTCATCTCACACCCTAGCCAGGAACTAAGGTCTCCTCTGGCCACCCCTCCCCATAGCCTGGCCCGGAGATTGTGGTTCTTGGGTCAAACAGTGCTGACCACTTGGGCAGCATCTAAGCAGCTTTGGCTAGGTAGGGGCTGCCCAGAAGTTTTTTCCAGGCTCTTTCCTTCTTGGAAATCTCTGCCTCAGCCACAAGCTCTTATACCAGGGGACAGTAAGGAGGTACAGATGGCTTGGGAACATTGCAGCGATGGCCCAGAATCTGCTTTTAATGCCTGTAGTCTGGACTCCTGAGGAAGGAAGCTTTGACTTTCCACCCACAGCAGGACTTCTTGGCTTTTATTGGCACATTGACCCCAATGCCCCTGTGACCCTGTGTCTATGAGCACAGGCATTTACACCAGAACTACCTCGGCCCTTCAGCTTTTCATTCCAAGTATTTTCAAGGTTTATGTCACTTACAACAATCCATTGCCTTGTCCAAGTTCACTGCATTGTGCAGGCCACTCTCCTGTCCTGTCCTGTCCTTTCCTTTCTTTCCTTTTTTGAGGCAGGGTCTCAGGTGACCCAGGCGATCCAACTCATTATATGGCTGAAGATGACCTGGAACATCTGATCCTCCAGCCTCTACCTCCCAAGTGCTGGGTTATGTTGATAGGATGCTTGAAGAGGAACCCAGGGCTTTGTGCTGGGCAAGCAGGCTACTGGCCCAGTCGCACCATCTGCCCCCTTTTTGGTTCCTTCAAGTATTTAGAACGAGCCATCCAATCCCCAGTTCACACACGCCACGCATATTTCATTTGCTGGTTAGTGTTTGGTCGTATCCAACCCCATGAGTTGTTTGCCACCAGGTGAGTTCTCAGTCCAGTTTTCCCAGGAAGAGGGAGGTGGGGGGATTGGGCAGTCTCTGCCACCCACATGGAGATGTTCTCTTGCTCGTGGCTTTAGGGGAAGAGTGAATCTGTGAGCTTGGCGCATAGTAGGGGCAGGTCTGGGAAAAGATGGAAGTCTTCCTTTCCCAGCGATAATTCAGATACCCAGAAAGACCTCACACTGGGGCTAAGACCATGACCTAGGGTCCAGGTGTTGATGGCTCTGACACCACTCAGGGCTTCCCAGATGCAGAGGCCTGATGGGCCCTTGTGGAGGCTCTCGAGGACGCTGACCTGGAGGATCTGGAGGACCTGGAGGACCTCAACAGGCCCAGACCTCGGGAGCGGCCTGCCCCGTGCAGCTGGCGCTCATGCTTGCGGATCTGCACCTTGTGCCGAAAGCTCTCTCCGCAGTCCTGGCAGACGTAGGGACGCATATCCGAGTGGGCGCGGCGGCGGTGGCGCAGCAGGTTGGAGGAGACGCTGAAGCACATGCCGCAGTCTCCGCAGACGTAGGGCCGCTCGCCAGTATGGGTGCGCTGGTGCTGCACAAGCGCCGAGCTCTCGCTGAAGCACTTGGAGCAGAAGGTGCAGGCATAGGGCTTCTCTCCAGTGTGGATGCGCTGATGTGTCACCAGGTTGGAGTGCTGAGAGAAACTCTTGCCGCACTCGCTGCAGAGATAAGGCCTCTCTCCAGTGTGTGTGGCCTGGTGTCGTACCAGGTCTGTGCTGCGACTAAAACCCCTGCCACACTCCCCGCAGATGGTTGGCCTGTCCCTGCGTCGCTTCCTCCGCTGCTTCTTGGGCGTCCGAGACGCACTCCCGGCGGGGCCCGGGATGGCCACCACAGTGGATGTGGCCACAGTGGGCAGCACCATGAGCTCTTGCAGTACCACATAGCCTGGAGGTGCCACCACGACAGTGGCTGGATCTGGCTCTGCACCACCTCCCGGAGCGGGCACCAGCTCCAGCTGCAGCTCTGGAGGCACAGAGGTCAGCTCCAGCGGCAGCCCCTCCTGCTGGACGCCCAGCTCCACCGGGGTCAGCTCCAGGTGCACCTCCTGTTGCTCCAGCTGCTGCTGCTGCAACTGCTCCAGCAGATGCTGTTGCTCCAGGTGCCGCTCCAGCTGATGCAGCTGCTCCTGCAGTTTTAGCTGCAGCTGCCGCTCTTCCTGCAGCCTCTCCAGCTCCTGCTCTGACCCGGTGTCCACTGGCATGAGCTCCAGTTCCACCTCTGCCTCGTCCTCTGGCTCCAGTGGAGGAGGCTGCAGCTGCTGGTAGTACTGCAGCTGTTCCTGCTGCTGTTGCAACAACTGTTGCTGTTGCAACTGCTCTTGCTGCAGCAATAGTTGGTGCTGTATCTGGGCCTGCTGCTGCAGCAACAGCTGCTCCTCTAGCTCTCCCTGTGGTTGCAGCAACAATACTTGCTGCTGCAATTGCCCCTGCTGTTGCAACAGTTGCTGCTGTTGAAGCAGCTGCTGCTGTAACTGCTCCTGTTGATGCTGCTGCAACAGCTGTTGCCCTTGCACCTGTTGTAATTGCTGCTGCAATGCTTGTTCTTGTACATACTGCTGCAACTGCTGCAGCAGCAATTGTCCCTGCTGTTGTAGTAGTTGTTGCTGTTGGAGAAGCTGTGGTGACTGTGGTTGCTCTTGCATTGGCTGCTGTAATGGCTGCTGCTGCTGCAGTAAAGCCTGTTCTTCTACTCTTTGCTGCAATGATGCGGGTTCTTGTACTTGCTGCTGCACAAGTTGCTGTTGCTGAACTTGCTGCTGCTGTTGCAGCTGTTCCTGCTGCTGTCGTAACAGCTGTTGCTCTTGGCCTTGGGGTTTCATCATCATCACCAGCTGCTGCTGCAGCAACTGTTGCTCCTGACCAAGTCCCATATGCTGCACCAGCTGCAGCTGTGGTTTCGGCCCCTGATGATGCTCAGACTGGAGGTTTTCCTGGAGTTCCTGCTGCAGCTGGGATGGCAGCAGCTGTCCATCTTGTTGCTGCTGCAGTTCTGGCTGAGATCCTAACAGTTGATGAGGAGGCTGCTGCTCTAACTGTTGCAGGTGCAAGTCCTGTTGTCCCGGCTGCACTGCCTCGATGCTGTCACTGGGCCCCACTGGGGCTGCAAGTGCTGACGGCCGTGGGCTGCTGCTCCCCTCCTGAGCCTCCTCCTCCTCCTGGCTCTCACTCCCACCACTGCTACCTGTGGTGGAAATGGCAGGAAGCCAGGAGAGAAGGATCGATGGACAGCCACCTGGACCAGACCCACGGAAAGAATGTACTCAGTATCCACTAAGGGGCTCTTAGCAGGGACCCAAAAAAATAAGGGACCAAGTGGCAATGGTGCTAAGACAGACATTCCCCGAGTCCCACGGATCACCTCGTCCAGTCTCCATCTGAGCCCCTTCACACAAGCCCCATGTTTTGGTATCAACATGGAGCTTTGGGCTCCTGACACCATTTCCTGAGAGGTCTTCAGTACTTTCTCCCCATGCAGGAGAAACCAGATAATGCAGTGGCTGAACTCTGACCTCACTGTGGCCACACTATTTATTTATTTATCTATTTATTTATTTGGGGTTTTGGTTTTTTGAGACAGGGTTTCTCTGTATAGCCCTTGCTGTCCTGGAACTCTCTCTGTAGGCCAGCTTGGCCACGAACTCACAGAAGTCTGCCTGCCTCTGCTTCCCAAGGGCTGGGATTAAAGGAGTGTGCCACCATTGTCCAGTGATGGTCACACTTTAAATAAGTGAAATTTGCCCTATCTATGAACAGGGAATGTTTCTATAAAGATACAACAAGCCGTTTCTAGAAAGCAAAGAAGGAATCCAGGGGTCAGTTAGGGAGTCCGTGGTTCCGAATGGGACTGAAAAGCCAGGCACGCAGTCTGTCTAGTCTGTCTGCAACTTCCAGCCTCAGAGGGTGGAGAGAGACGATCCCTGGAATGAGCCGGCTGGCAAGACTAGCCTATATGCAAGCTTTGGGTTTGACTGAGAAACCCTGCCCCATTGGCTAAGTTGGAAGAAAAATCAAGGATGATTCGTGACATCAACCCGAGGCCTCCAAATACAGGGACACACATATCAATGCACACAAACACAGACAAGAAACATGAATACACACATACACACCACACATAACACATACAAAAAAATCGTGTAGGTAATTATCTTTTTGAAAAAAAAATCTTTCCAAACACCTTTGTTGAGTCCGCTTTAAAAAAAACTGTGTGTCTTGTGTATATGTGCATGCGTGCACATGTGTGTGCTTGTGGGAACATATGTGCCACAGCACACCTGTGGAGGTCAGAGGACAACCTTTCCACATTGAGGCAGGGTTTCTTGTCTGCCACTGCACAGACCACCCAGGCTAACTGGTCTTGGAGATATCAGTCGATTCTCCTGCCTCTGCCTCCCATTTCACTATAGGAATGTTGGGATTACAGACATGCACTACCATGCATAATTTCTGGGGATTCAAACCCTAATACCCAGGCTTGTAGGGCGAGGGCTGACCCACTGAGTTGCCTCCCCGGCCCCTTGGGTGTATTTTATTTTTCAGACGCGCTTCTACAGAACAGCTGGGATGTTGGGTGGGAGATGAAGACAGCTATGGGGACCTATCTCTACAGCAAGTTCAACTCCGCCTCCTCTGCAGGGATAGACCTCACCTCTGTGTGAATCTCCACATTTCTAGCTTGGTCACGTGGTCACTCTGACTTCCTGGGACAGCAGTTTCCACAGAAGCATTTTATTGCCCATGTAGTTAGATGTCACCTGAAGTGTATGCCCGCTAGAGTTAAATTTACAATCGGAAAGAGTCTTTGTTCAATTCATATGTCCCTATTTTATTGCTTATTCTTCCAAATTTCTTGATAACCATTCTCTCTCTCTCTCTCTCTCTCTCTCTCTCTCTCTCTCTCTCTCTCTCTCTCTCTCTCTCTCTCTCTCTCTCTCTCTCTCTCTCTCTCTCTCTCTCTCTCTCTCTCTCTCTCTCTCTCTCTCTCTCTCTCTCTCTCTCTCTCTCTCTCTCTCTCTCTCTCTCTCTCTCTCTCTCTCTCTCTCTCTCTCTCTCTCTCTCTCTCTCTCTCCTCTCGCTCTCTCTGTCTCATTGTATAGTCATAGCCCAGGCGGTCAAACTACGACCCTCTTTCCTATGCCTCCTGAGTTCTGGATTCCAGATACGTGTCACCATACCCAGCCCTCCCTGGTCCTCCCTTAACTCTCTGCAAGCCTGCCCCACACTGTCACTCATCATCTTTTAAACCATACAATGTGAAAACCGACTCTGGTACACTCTTGAAGGCTACCCCTGCATGGGCTTCAGAGGCAGCATTGGGAAGTTCCACAGCACCACAGGCGCCTCTGTGCGGCAGGTGGAGGGAAAGAGATGGGAACAAATGTTGAGGAACTGGGAACCAGGGTGGAGGTCACTACAGGCCATGCAGCCAGTGTCTGAGGCATCAGAGACAGAAAACCCCTCCAGCTACATGGGAGACAGTGGAGGCCAGCTGGGAAAAACAGGTTAGAGCCAGCCCAGGTGTGTGGGTCAGGGCTGTGGCTACTGGATCTGTCATAGTGTCTCTCTCCTGCAAAACCTTGGCCTGACAGACACCTCAGCAGGTCCCAAGTCAAGTTCCAGGGTAGCTGAGGTTAGCAGGTGTGAGTCCCTCTGTGGTGTACTGGGCTGTGCCAGCTTGCAGCTCAACTAAAGAATCCTTGCTGGGGACCCCAGAGTCTCCACCTCCCAACCCTCACCTGAGAGGGTGTCAGGCCCTGGACCCCCATCCTCAAGACATCGCAGCTCCAACACAAAGGTCTCTGTTGTGGGACCCAGCTCCATCCTGGCAGTCACACCAGGGTCCCGGGGAGCAGGCTGCGCTAAGAGGAAGAAAGGAAGCTGTTCAGAAGGGAGATGGTAGTGATTGAACCCCATTCTTACACAGAAGAGCCAGAGCTGTTACTTGCTGGGCATACACAGGGATCCACCTTAGCTGACCTTCCTGTCCCCACACGGAAACATAACTATGGGAAACAGCCTCTCCTAAGGCTGGGAAGCTGGAGGCACACCTGCGGGTACCCATGACACAGTCCCTTGCCCTTTCCAAAGCATGACAATCTCCCCAGGTTCAAAGGCCACATATGTCAGGTGTCATCCCAGGTCCCTGGGAAGTCCAGAGCACTGTAATCCATAGGCGGAGCCTTCAACAGGCCTGTGCTCCTGTCCTGAATCCACTCTGGAGAAGTGGTCTCCACATTCAGGCGCCCCCACTCCCGCATGCCAGCGGATTCTATCTCTCTCTGGCTTAGGAACCCTTGGCAGAGAAGCGCCCCTGCGCCCAGCAGGGCTCTCCCGCCTGGCCTCACCTGGAACAGCATTTCCCGCCGCTGCCGCCAGCAGCAGCCTCTGCGCTAGGGGAGGTGTGGTCACCAGTGGCTACAAGGTGAAGGCCACTGTTCAGCCAGAGCTCCTTCCGGAGGTGCCTCCAATCTAGAAGGAGCCAGGGAGGCTCTGACCACCCCCGAAGGAACCCTTTACGGGCACTCTGCGGGGTCTTCGCTGTTAGAGCTGCCGAGGTCGCCCTGGGCCAAGACAAGGTGCAGAGTGGAGTTCCCAGGCAGAAGTTAGTGGAGACTGTCACGTAGGGACAGGGAAGGGAGGCAGGGCTCCAAATCCCGAGCTGGGATCAGGGTTGGTCCGGGTGGCCATGGCGCGCAGCAGGGCCCAAGCTGGAGCCCTAGGTCGGCTCAGTGGGAACCGAGTGACAAGGGTCCTGGACGATCACGGATCACAGGTGCCCAGGAGGCGGGGGGGAGGGGGGCGGGGGGCGGGCGCCGCGGCCGGGCCAGGTCCCGGATCGCTCGCCCGCCCTCCGGTGCCATGCGTCCGTGCGGGAAGCGGCCGGGCCGGGGCGGGGGCGCTGGGGGGCCGGCACAGGAAGTCCCCCCGGCATCCGCATCCTGTCCCCCGCCCCTGCCGCCCGCCGCGCCCCCCGCGCCCCGGCCCTCGCCGCCACCACCTCGGCAGCTGCCTTCGCCTTCGCCACGGTCGCCGCCCGCCTCTCTAGGCCGCGCTGCCAGCTCTGTGGGTTTAACCCTTCCCGGCCCGGCCACTCACCAGGGCCCCCCCCGGAGAGGTGTGGATGGGAATGGGGAAAGGATGCTTGGCCCTGCGTGCGTCCTAGAGCTCGCCGGTGCTGGGCGCAGCACACACTGCAAGGCATCGCCCGGTGCGGTGCGCGTGTCCGTGCGCCACGGTTGGCAACTGTCACTGAGGCTGCATGGATGGAAAAGGAAGGGGGTTCCCAGTCAACACCCCCACTGTCCTCTGAAGCGTGGGCGTGGCTTCGGGGAGTCCCTCCCCGGACAGTAGTATAAATTGGGTCGAATTAGCAATTAATGAGGAAGCCCCCTCCTGATTCCAGTAGGTCCAGAACAGCCAACTCAACTCACACCTGGACCCTTGAGTTAGCTAGGATAGACGGGTGGCGACTGTGCCAGCTCCATCAGGGCCACCTTCAGGAATTAGGGGGCCCGTCGGTATCTCTTTGGGTTCTTGCTCCCTCCAGTAGCCACAGGACCTCCCTTCTCCAGCCTCCATCTTTCTCAGTGGACCTTCTTCCAGCTTTCTGAGCCATGGCAGCCCCAGTGGCTTCCCCGTTTGCTTGTTGCCATAACAAGTTGCTTCCTGCCTGGGGGTGGGAGTTAGGGTGGGGGTGGGGAGTGTTTTCTCCCCCAGGAGGCTTGAGCTGACCATCTATCTGCACGTCCCCTCACTCATCTTTAATGGCATACTGCCGTCTGGAGAATGCACATAAGATGCATTGCCAAGTTCTCCGGAAAAGAGGCTGGGGAAGTGGCTCAGTTAGCGGAGTGCTTGCCCTGGTGCTCACAAAGTCCTGGGTTCCACCCCAGTAGTGCATAATACCCACGTGGTGGTACATGCCTGTCATTCCAGAACTCAGCAGGAGGATCAAGAGTCCTAGGTCATCCTCGGCTACATAGCAAATCTGAGGCCAGCCTGGACTACATGAGACACTGTCTGGGGGGAGGAGGAGGAGGAGGAGGAGGAGGAGAGGAGGAGGAGGAGGAGGAGGAGGAGGAGGAGGAGGAGGAGAAGAGGAAGAGGAAGAAGAAGAAGAAGAAGAAGAAGAAGAAGAAGAAGAAGAAGAAGAAGAAGAAGAAGAAGAAGAAGAAGAGGAAGAAGAAAACTTCCGAGAAACTCAAAGATCTGGCAAACCAGAGCTGCCTCTGAGGTGAAGAGGTGTCCCCTGGAGGGGGGCAAGAACCCTTCATGTGATCACAGCCCCGCTCTTCTCCCTGTCTCCCTGCTTACAGTAGTCTTGGATTCACACTGTTCCTGTTCCTGCAGGCTTTCTCTGCAGTCAGGAAAGCCTGACTCTGGAGGCTTCACTTGCAGACCAGCAGCCCACTTCAGGGCTAAGGGTGCAGAAGGCCACAGCTAAGTCGCTGAACCAGAGGTGCAACCACAGGGACCCAGTTTGGAGGCAGGGTAATTTGGAGTCACAAGGACTTCTGGTTGCCTGGTAACTTGAGGCACCATATAACGTGCCATCAGTGAAAGTGGAGACGATAGGCTTCCAGGCAGCAGTCCAAGGACAGCTGAGCAGACAGACACATACACGCAAAGGATGGGTGTGCCTTCTTCACCTTGCCCTAACTGGATGGGAGCCTCTTCCAGAGACCTCAGTCTCCAGTGTTTCCCTCCTCTCCGAATCGTGTGTGTGTGTGTGTGTGTGTGTGTGTGTGTGTGTGTGTGTGTGCATTTGAGTGCAGGTGCCTGTGGAGGCCACAAGAGGCATCGGATATCCTGAAGTTGGAGTTGTAGGAGGTTGTGAGCCACCAGGCTTAGAAGCTCGGATCTCACTGGTCCTATGTAAGAGCACCAAGTGCTCATAACCATCTCTCCAGCCCATCTCCACCTTATTTTTATCTGACATAGATCTCTCATTGATTAGCTAGACTGGCTGGCTGGTCACCAAACTCCAGGGATCAGCCGTCTTTGCCTCCCAAGCAGTGAGTACAGGCTCACACCACTGTGCCTAGCTTTTAGATAAGTGAAAGCGCAAAGGACATAGCTTATTTGCAGCGCGCTTACCAAGCAGTGCAAAAGCCCTGGGTTTCATGCCCAGTACTGACCGAAACATTGCTTTCCTGAGTTCTTTCTATGAGTTGATCTAGTGCACAGTAAACCTGAGTAGGCCCTGGGAAATCCTGACTTTGCAGCCATTTGGCTGGAAGCCTGGGTGGACTGGGGACTTTGGAACTAGCAGCTTGTATCTGAAATGAGGTTAGTCTCATCAGGAATGTATGTGCCCCTAACCTGTGTAGTCTGTGCCAATTCCTGTGGTTACTGTTTTATTGCATCTTTGCATGAACGAATATTTACTGTTTCCATAGTTACACTTATGGAATTGCCTTTAGGGATGAGTCCAGGAATCTTCTCATAAGTTTCCTTCCGCTCTAACCATTCTAACCCCCCCACACACTATTCTCTTTTCTTTTTATTTGTATTGATTCATTCTTGATTTCTCTTGCAATTCTTCCGACATTTTTCTCTTGGGAGTGGGGCTGTAGCAAGAATTCTTGTCTCAACTTCACAGCCAGTCAAACTGATTAGAAATTTATTTTTTAAATCACATTTATTTACTGGGGGGAGGGTAGGGGGTGCCATAGTATATCAGTTCTCTCCTTCTATCATGTGGGTCCTAGGAATTGAACTCATGTTGTCAGGCTTTGTGGCAATCACCTTTTATTCACTGAGCCATCTCACCAATACTATGTTTAGCTTTTCTTTTCTTTTTCTTTTTGGTTTTCCTAGATAGGGTCCCTCTGTGTAGCCCTGGCTGACCTGGAACTTGCTCTGTAGCCTAGGCTGACCTTGAACTCAGAGATTTGCCTGCTGAGGCAGTCTTGTATTTCTAACTGAGCTCAAATTCACTGTGTAGACTTCTACCTCCCAGGTGCTGAGATAAAGGCATGAACCACCATGCCTAGTATACACAGTGCTGGGGAATTAAACCCAGGGCCTCATTAAAGCTACTCAATCTCTCTATCAACTGAGCTACCTCCCAAGCCTCCTTTTATATAGTTTCTCTCATGAACAGACAGTCACTGGCCATGTGCCAGTTCCTATACAATTGGGGCAGTTACAGGCACTACTGGAAATGTGGTGAGGTGAGAATCAAGGGATCCAGAGTCTCCAGTCACCATTGGTGGCATCTACCATGGTTCCATGTAGGTCCTGGCTAAGACCACCAGGAGAAGAACTCTGGACTGGAAGCAGCCAATCAGCCGTAGTGACCGGAGTAGCACACATGGGCCATAGATGTGGCAAGGTGTTCAGGCCACCATAGGGGCCTGAGCTGTGGAAATCTGGCTATGGGGGTTTAGTGTGGCTGTAGGAGTGAGAACAATCCTCAGTCAGTCTTAGTTTTCTGAAACTGTGAAGACAGGATGACCCCTAGCCTAGTGCACAGGGCTCTGTGTGTAGTGCTCTGCCTTCCAGGTAATCTTAAGCTCAAGGAGAGCACAAACAGCAAGAGGGAAGAACTGTTGAAATGGACGCTTGCCTTGAACAGTTACAACCAGAAGCTCAAAGAAACAAAACAACAACAACAAACAGATGAAGAGCAAAAAAAAAAACAACAAAAAAAAACACCGGGTGTGCTGGTGCAAACCTGGAATCTCAGTACAGTGGAGCTGGAGATAGGAGGTCATCCTCAGCCTCATAGTAAGGTCAAGTTCAAGGCTAGCTGGGCTGTGTGAGGTCATGTCTAAAAGTAATAACTGTGATGGCAATAATAATAAGTTAAAATGCTAAGTACTAGAGTGATAGCTCAGTCAGCAAAGTATCTGCTACAAGGGCCCGAGTTCAGCCCTCCAGTGCACATGCAAAGAGCTGCTAGGGGTGGAGTGGTATGGAATATTACTCTAACTAGGCAAAGATGTGTTACATTTGTTTATGCTGCCTTTGTTTTTTCCCGAGACAGGGTTTCTCTTTATTGTTTTGGAGGCTGTCCTGGAACCACTCTTGTATACCAGGCTGGTCTCAAACTCACAGAGATATGCCTGCCTCTGCCTCCCGAGTGCTGGGATTAAAGGCATGTGACACCAACGCCCGGCTTTCTGCTGCCTTTGTTAATGATGTAAAGATGTGTTATATTTGTTTCTGCTGCATTTGTTTAATTATGTGAAGATGTGTTGCTGGATCACCTTGCCTACCTAAGACACCTGATTGGTCTAATAAAAAGCTGAATGGCCAGCCAGGCCTTGGTAGCTCATGCCTTTAATCCCAGCACTCAGAGGCAGAGGCAGAGGCAGGCAGATCTCTGTCAGTTCTAGGCCAGCCTTTAAAACAATACAGAGAAACCCTGTCTCGAAAAACAAAACAAAAAGCTGAAAGCCCAATAGCTAGGTAGGAGAGGGATAGGCAGGGCTGGTAGGCAGAAAGAATAAATAGGAGAAATCTAGGTTTGAGAAGAAGGACGAGGAGAGAATGAGGGAGAAAGAGGGACACGCCCAGGGCCAGAATCCAGGCAGCTGCCAGCCAGACACAAGAAGCAGGAAAAGTAGGACATAAGAAAGGTTAAAAAGTTCCAAAACAAAATGTAGATGAAGATAAACAGGTTAAGGTATAAGAGCTGGCCAAAAAAGAAACCTAAGCTAAGGCCAAGCATTTATAACTAATAACAAGTCTGTTATGATTTGGGAACTGGTTGGTGACCCAGAGAGAAAGCCTGGTACAGTAAGGAGAGCAGAATCACGGTCAGTTAG